AACATGTATAGTCACTATACTATACTAAGTATAGTGACCACGTGGCTCTCTGCCACGATGCGACCCCTTCGTACTTCAGGTACGGTCACATCACCTGCTTTTGTCACACCAAGGTGTGTATGTACAATACACACCTTCGTGTAACCCTGTTACACCATACACATTCTAGTTAGGTACGATTTAGCGTTGTAGGCCAGCATTGTTATTTTTTTATAAATAGCTAGTTGATATGGTGTTCTATGGAATTTTCACTTGTTATGTGTATAAAAGCGGAGCTGTTTTTTTATACGGCAAACTTTGACGAGAGCTTTCTCATTGCTTCTGTACGTAGGTACGCTATACACATACCTTAAACCTATTGCAGTTATTGGTCCTTACAAGACCCAAGCATAGTGATGGATAATTCTTTGCTGCCTACGACACCAGAAAAGATTCGATAAACACGGGTTACCTCATCTCACAATGATGCTTTCGAGTTTTTGCTAATTAATGATTTCTTGTAATTTTTATGATCATATTTAGACTAGCACCTGATGATGGTGCCAATATTATGTAATGAGCTTACCCAAAGACTAGACTTATTATTCGGGAAAAATAGTGCCTTACATAGCTTTTGATGCCAACTTTATAGCTGACAGTAACTACTTCAGTGGTCATCTGTAAAAATAAACTTTGAAGCTGACGTACCGTATGTGCATGAAATTGACTGAAAATGTCGTTGATAAAGTTGCTGCATCAAAACCCGAACAAATAAAGGGCAGGCTGCCAGAATATTCTGTAGACCCCGATTCTTTAGAGACATAGGTGGTGCTAAATTTGTGTCGTCAAGAAGCTGTAGCAAAGATTGCCGCCTTTTTAACACGTACAATGTAGGAAAACCACACCGCATGTAGCCTTGTATCTGCCCACACTAGGCACCGGTTAGTGTTAAATGCGTTATAGACTTAAATAAATGCAGGTTAGTGCAAATATCAAGACGTCAAAACTGCAAGACCCATGACAGGTATAGGGCAACCCCACCTGATTGGCTAGCAAGTTGACACGTGGGACCAAGACGTAACATCTTGACATATGGAACTGGGGAGGAAGATCGTTAAGTCGGAGTGTAATCGGAGATGATAAGTGAGACGAAGACATACGGACGGCATATGGGACCACGGGTGACCCACGGAGATGGGCACGCTGGATGTGTGCCAGGTGTCCTTGACTAGGTCAAGTTGCAGTGCTGGTCATCAAACTGCATATGGTAGGTTTAACAACGAAGGGTAGTAACACTCAATATATTCTAATTTTACTCCCACCATCTCCTGCACAAGTGCAACTATGTCTAACAGGTTATGAGCCCAATTACGCGTGTTGATGACACGCGTAATTGCGGCACCTAACGTAGTGGCCGATGGCAAGATTAAGGCTAACGATCACTACCTGGAAGAAAAGTCGGCAGCGCCTGCAGGGGCGATTAAGAAAACGCTGGCCATGCTTGGGGACCTGTCCGAAAGGACAAATCGGATGGAAGTCTCACAGAGAAAACCAGGCAGCAGGCTAAGTACGGACTCACCTGAGTTACGTGCTGACAATTGGAAGGGGAAGGTTTCGGCGGGGATTAACATCAAGGCCTTGGAACGACGCTCACCCCACGGTATCACCTAACGTGTCGTTAGCAACCTACTTTGGTACACGGCGACAATAAAACCAAGCAGGTGGTGAAGGGTTCCCCTAAGACATGCAGACCCGGACGTCAACATGGTTTTGGGACCCAACCTCGGGCCACACGTGGCGGGCATACCTGCGGGGCATCATCCCGGTTTGGGTGTCCCCAATTGAGGGTATGTACATCCTGGATATCCGAGGATCGGCATGCCGGATGCGCAACAACGGAAGATCGCGTTACAACCTTTCGATGGGAAGGAACTCTACCACGGTCTCTGTAGCGTTTTCATGGAGTGGGGCAAGGAATATTGACCGCAGGTCGGGTTCGCAGAGCGTGTGGTTTCGTGCGGCCGAAGGATATCAAGGTTGATGCTCTAGGTCAGTACCTAGCCGGCAAGGCACCGACATACCACCGTCTGCAAGTTGAGGGGTGGTGGCTTGAAAGTCAAACGTTGGAGCACGCGATGCAAAAAATGTTGAAGACTTTCACCACGAAGATTTTACCGGCACAAAGCATGAAGTTTTCCGCAGCACCCAAGGCACCTCGTCGAACTAGAAGGATCATTTTTTGTAATTTACGGCCGTCAGCGTTCTTGTGGAGGTGCTGACAGCCTTGCGCTGGACAGCATCGTTCATTATGCTGACCCACGCACGCGAACTACAATGATTTTAGGTTAGACACTCATCGCGTCGACTGCCTGCGGCAAGCAGAGGATTTGGCACAATTCGCCCAATCGACGGAGGTGGACACCAATAAAGGAACTTCGGGCGCGATGTCGAGGCCGTGAAGGAATTCAAAGACAAGATCAAAGAGAGACCGTCGCAGTCACGATAGACACATGGACATGATAAATGTGGAAAAGTCGGACACATTTGGTCGCAATGCTTGCTAATAAAGAAAAAAAATCTCGCCCGCGAACTTCGTCTTCGCGGTTGACCATGGCACAAGTAATTCGCTCGGTTAATGGATACTCGACAGCGGCTCGACCAGACATTAAATCAATGACTCTAGTCTGCTAACCTATCCGGCCGCAATATCAGTGAATGTCTCATCCGCAGCCACTGATGAAAGTGCGCTGCGCATCACCCTTCAAGGTACTGTGGACATTCATGTCGTCGCTTGGAGTCGTCAACACAATGAGACTCCTCAATGTACAGTACGCGGAAAACCTTGAGCGTAATATCCTTTCCTATGGATTGCTCAAGGCCAAAGTTTGCGCTCTCGAATAACGAGGAGAGAGGCGCGTTGTCCTCCGGTGTGGGTGGTACTCCCATCATGGACGTGGAAAATAGCAACAACTTTTTGGTAGTTGCTGTGACGAGTCACTGCAATCGTAATCTCAAGCCACCGCAAGCGACAATGATGACAGTCATCAATTTGCCTGAATATGAATCCGACTCGGATCTTCAGCGCGGTACCTTGGTAGAATTCATCGGCTAGGGCACCATGCTTCGACACGATCATAAAGATGGCCATAGACCCAGCATCAGGCATAATACGATACGACACGTCAACAGTGTCTGGCCTGTACAAAGGCAAAGCATATCAAGGAATTGAGTCGAGGACAGAAACGGAGACAATTTTGCCAATCCACGTAATCGGGGGCGTCATCTGTTCGGACCTCAAGGGTACCATGACCTCTCGAGGCCGTTTTGGTAAAACGATACATGGTTAATTCATTGATCATCGATTATGCTACTGTCGAGTGTTTTGCCCAAGTCCAAAGATGCAGCTGCATTGAAGTTTAAGCTCTTCATAAACAGTTCTAAGCGCAAATTCAAGTGCAAGATTCACGTCTAACGCACTGACGGTGGTGGTGAATACAAGATGCTCAATCTGTTTGATTCGTGGAAGTCATTTCGCGTCAAGTGAGTGAAGCGAGAAACAAAGCGAGCAGCGGCAAGGCTGAACAGATGCACCGCACCAGCGTAGTATGAACTTTGCTGGTGCATTTAACCTGCCGCTGTCGCTTTGGGGTGATGCCGCAGAATTTGCCTCGTATATTCTATATCGAAGTAAGACCAATTCCAAACCTGGAGGTGTATCTCCGATGGAGGTTTTGACAAAAAGGTTCCCGCGTTGAAGGACATCGTGTTTTTGGGTCAACATGTACTGCGCATAGACACGAGCAACAAGTCACTTGGGAGCGACGAAAGGCGGGCATGATCATTGGGCGAGGCAGCGAAATGAAGGTGTACAAGGTGTACATCCCAGTGGATAAGGTGGTCGTGGTGACATAATACTGTCAAAACGTTGAAGCACCACAGGATAACGAGGATGAAACGAAGGACTTACCCTGACACAGTTCACCGTCAGTAGGAGTCACGTCGTAATCATCAAGCTAATGACAACGTGCTCAAGGTAGTGCAAGGCGTGCGAAGAGTTTTCGCAAGGGTCAAAAGACTACTTGGATCAGAGAGCGTCATGACACAAGGTCGACGACCTTGAATCAACCGAAAAGGACCATGGACGACATCTCGGCGGAAAATTGCGACGCCATGAATGCCATCGGGCAAGGTCCGAGACATTACGGCGAAGCAATGAAGTGCAAGCATCGTGACCAACGGTAGGTGGCCATGACTGAACAGATAGATGCCTTGAAGTCGAACGATGTGTGGCAGATGGTCGTACCACCAAGAGTCGCACACAAATTAGGTCTACAAGATCAAGACGTATGCAAACGGAAACATCGCGCGGTGCAAGGCTGTGTTGGTCGTGTGCGGAAACGAACAAGTTTTTTGGTGTCGACTGAAATCTGACGCTTGCGGCAGTGATAGATTTGGTGACCGTCAAGTTGATTGTGGTGCTCTCCAGAAGATGGAATGTGCCAACACGCCTTGACGACGTGCCGAATGCGTACGTAAAAGCTGAAAAGGAAAAGCACCTGAAAATCGAATGAAAATACCAAAGGGTATGCAAGTGACTGAAAGAGATCACAAAAGGTGTTGGTGTAAAGTCACACTAGGGAAGTTGCACTACTTTTAAAGAAATCGCTCTAGAAACAATTAACGCTAAATATATTTTACTATTACTTCCTGCTTCTCCTGCACAAGGTGCAATTACGTCGAGCACACGGGTGCTCACTCGCCGATCGACTGCACTGGCGATGTCATATGTTCATACATTAAGGGGTCCGATGGCCCCAAGGGGCCGACTTAATTCCGGATTTTTCCCTCTCGAGCACACATCGTTCTCGAACTCTCCTGTCACTTACAGCCTCTCCCGTCGCCGTTGTCGTCCAGTCCTTTGCGTCTGCTCGCCTTCGCCCCGCCCCGCTTCGTTCGTCTCACTTCTTCCCCGAAGTGTTGTTGTTACCGCTCGCGCCTTTTGGCTTACGTTCTCACCGATCATGACCACGCCCCCGCGTTCTTCGCCATCTTCGCCCTCATCGCAGCCGCTGCGCTCTTCGGATCGCTCGGCCACCATTCTGCCACGTCATTCTCCCCCGCCCCGTCGCTTCGTCCCTGACGACAGTCTGTTCACGGCCAGTTATTTGCTGATTGGTGATGACTCGTCGACTGACGACGATCGCTCCTTCAAGGCCAGCACGCAACTACCTACGCCAGTTGAAGCTGTGCAGTGCACACGCATGTGGATTCCCGCGGCACGCTTGTCTTCCGAGCATAGCACCGACGAGATTCTTCAATCGGGTGGGGTCCCGCAGTGATTTAAATCACTGGCAGGTGAAATCACTGGCAGGTGACTCTCAGCCAGACATTTGGCAGGCACATTGCGCTTCTTTGCGCGACTTTGTCCGGATTCCTCACCAGGGAATATCATTTCTCTGCACCTCTGACGCGGCTCTACACTCATTGGGTGGTCTTGCGTTGCAGGTGTGTGGTTCAACGGTCCACATCCGTAAGTATTCCAAGTACGACAAACTGTACTTCGTGGATCTGACTCGGCTTCCCGGTGACGTGCCTGATCGCGCTATCTACAATTGGTTCATGGACCGTGGGGCTCGTCCGGTGCTCATTACGCCGACTTACGTTGCCGGAGAGCTTAAGTCTCGCGACCGAACGGTGTATTTCCACGCCGTTCAGTGCCCACCGGGTCTCTTTCTCGAGAATGGCGAGCCGCTTCGCGAGATTTTCTTTGACCCTGAGGACAAGCCGTGTTTTGTGCAGCATCGGCTTCGTAAATTCAACCGTGTCAAGCCTCCATCGCTTCGCCGACAGGCTTCTCCTCCTGTATCTTCTGGTGCTGTTGACGATGGCGACACCAGCATGGGAGCCAGCGATGCTGGGTCTCTCACTGACGGTGGCCCCATTTTGTCTGCTCCCGCGACGTCTGCATCTCGTGCAGCCCCAGTTCCAGGCCCCTCGATTTCTGCAGTCGTCCGCGCTTCTCGTTCTACTAATTCGGCCGCCCATTCGGCTAAAAAGCTCTTCATCTTGGACTCGGTCGACGCGACAGCGCCCGCGTGGACACTGGTTCAGGCTTCTCGCAGAGGTGTTACGACCGCGGCGGGACCGGTAAGTGCTCCGGACGGTTTGCTTCCGTGTTCTCTTGCTGAAGACCCCGCTGATCCATCGGCGTTAACGTACGCCACGATGATCGACGTGTACAACTCGTACAAAGTTCTCACTGATACTGCGCACGATGATACTCAACCTCCGGACGTCGATATCGCTGCCTATGACGAGCACGGCAGCGCTATTGCTGGAATCACGGGAGATACTCCTCTCGTCCCGCGTCGTGCGGCACGTGCCCTCATGGGCACTCGACAGCTCAAGACCAAGCGTCAGCAACTCTCACCGCAAGAATTGGACGCGCTCATTGCTGAATTTGTGGCCAACGATGTAATGAACTACTCGGCGCATGATGATCTTCTGGCGGCTATCCAGGTTCAGCCTGCTTACCTACGACACTTATTCTCGTTGCCGGTGGAATGGTTAGATCGCACGTATCGTACTCATGCGGTCTATCGTGCTACGCGCGGTATCCAACTTCCTGATGACCGGACGGACATGGTTTCCTTTCTTCAAGTCAAATTCGCAGCGCCAGGGGCTACTCTGGCTCAACTTTTCGACTACGTTTTTCCGGATGACAAGCTCCGCCGTGCTGCTTTGTCCTTGGCCACGTGTGACTTGTTCCTCATGACTTTTGCTCCTGGAGTTTACTTCGATCCTGTGAAGTTTGGAATGTTGTTACCGGACCGTCTCGCCAGTAAACGGCTTCACCACACGCCCTTCCTGCTTTGGAGTGATCTCTATTTACAGTGTGTCACTCGGTCGGATGTGGTGGCTGTCTTTTTGAACTATCCGCGAACCCCAGACGCTGTTCGCCGCGCCATCCAAGCGCTCAAGGATACCTCTCTACCTGCAGTTATGACTGCGTCCAGCCAGGTGGTCCCCGCTCACCTCTAATGAGGCGTGGGCCTTTACTGGCTTATCACTCAACTTTGGATTAAATCACCTCCCATCGACGCTTTACGATCGTCTTCTCTCCACGTATCAGCTGGTCGCGGTTCAAGAGACCAAGTTCGTCAGCCCTGATGCTCTTCAGACAAACGAACATTACATTTTTGCAGCAGACTCTGGGGCACAATGCTTTTGGTCGGACTCCTCTTCGCCTGCTTTCACGGGACGCCATGGTGTTGGCATTATTTTCTCTTCCGCTACGCCTTTTCAAGACATCCGCGACCTCACGGCTGATGTCTGCTCCTTCCCGCTCATCAACCGGTACATACTTCTTCAAGCTCGGCTGGGCGATATTCCTGTATATATTCACGTGGTCTACGCTCCAGATGAGCTTTCGGAGCGTAGCGAATATTTTCGTACGCTTCCGACTGAGTTTTTGGATACGGTTCCTGATCGCGCTGTCCGGCACCTTGTGGTCGGGGATTTTAACGTGACTTTGGACAGCTATTTGGATCAGAAGGTTCCCAGTCTCCATCATCTAGGATCCGGGCGTGAGGATCTCTGTGCTTGGATGGACACGCTTGATTTGATGGATTCGTGGCGCCATATGCACCCGGATACCCGTGATTTTACGAGTCCTACCCGCAAAAACCGCCTCGATTGTTGCCTTCTTACTGCTGACTTCGTGCAGGATCACCTAGTTGACGTCTGCCACGTGAGAGATCGACAATGGCATACTGAAGATCATATCCCAGTCGAGTTTAGACTCCAGGCGAGGCCGTAAACTCGGGGACGTCAACCTCCGTGGCGTTCCACCGTGGCTGCTAAAAGATCCTATCAGTTCGGGCCTATCTAATTGCCTCCGTTTCTGAGTTAGGCCGTCGCATCAAAATTTTTTCTGGTGCTAACCCGGGGTGTCTTCTCGACAAGCAAAAACGCGCGGACAGCATATACCTCAAGAGGCGGTGGTTGGAGCTCCGCGATCTCGATTCTCGACGAGCGTCAACACGAGTCACAGCGGTCAACGACGCACACGACCTACACAATGCGGCTTCGAGTGATTAGAGCTTCGCGGCAGTAGAACAGGCAAAGCTGTTACTACAGACCCACCTTGGAGCAGTCAAGTCTCGAAACCAGTTCAAGAATTTTTTTTGCGGCGGACTTACACGTTAGTGAACGTGCCACCAGCCACTTCTTTTGGCCGCCCCGGCAAGACTGTCTACGATCTCCGATTCCAGGATATTAGGCATCCGACGGCTCTATTACGGACGATCCGGTTCGGATAGTGGCGGGTCATCGTCAGTTTTGGGGTCAGCTTTTCCAATCACCTTCACGGGACCTTTATGGATTGCGCACTGCCACGTACGACTCTCTTTGTCTTGTCAAGTATCTTGGCGCCACGACGGCTCGTCTTACGTTGCGGCAGAATTCTCTTATGGATGCACCTCTCACGGCCAATGACTTTTACTGGGCAATATCCTCTTCTAAGAATGGAAAGGCGCCTGGTCCTGACGGTCTTCCCATTGAATACAATAAGGTGGCAACCTCCGAATGGGCTCGGATATTCGAAGTCGTTCACGATAATTAGTTGCTTCGCGGTAAGATGACTAAGTTCCAACGCCGTGCTCATCTATCGCTGCTGTACAAGTCCGGTGATCGTACACTGCCTGCTAATTACCGGCCACTAACGCTATTGAATCACGATGCTAAGCTTGGACCAAAGGTTCTTGCTTATCGTATGCGGACAGTGTTGCCGACTCTGATCCATGAAGATCAAAGTGGATTCATTCCCGGTCGTTCCATTCGACACTCGCTGCTTCGCTTTCAGGACCTCCAAGATTTCTGCAAGTTACACCATCCTGATGCCTGCGCCATACTGTTAGATTTTGCCAAGGCCTTCGACAGCGTCTTATGGCCGGCGCTGGACTTGGTTCTTGATCACTTTGGTTTTGGGCCAACTTTTCGTGCCTGGATCAAGACTTTTTACACTCAACTTTCTGTCAGTATTCTTCTCAATGTATCGCCTGGTGACCCCTTCGTCTTGGGAGCGGGCGTTCGTCAAGGTGATCCACTATCCCCTGGGTTATTTGTGCTGTTCGTCGAGCCCATGATGAATTTTTTACGCAGCCATTTTTCGTGTCGCGGCATTTCAGTGGATCCTTCTTCGGAACCGCACTTACTTGTAGCTTTTGTAGACGACCGCACCGGATTACTGGAGAATGTGGATGATGCTGACGGTTTCCTTCGGTTAGTCGACGACTATTCTAGCGCGACTGGCCTCCGACTTAACGTTAGTAAAACGTGTGTGATGCCGATGTCTCACCACATTACGCGTTCCAAACTGGACGGTCTTCGGGAAACTTCTCCTTTTAAGGTTTCTTAGCGTGACGGACACGGTGACACTGCTCGGTATTCCTCAAGGCGCAACTATCACCCCTGATATGCGCTTCAGTCGGGTCCTGGTGAAGCTTCGAGCGCGGTGTGCTTTTTGGAAGTATCGGGCGCGTACCCTTCGCGGTAAAGTGGTTTTTCTTCGGAGTGTCATCTTACCACTTCTTTGGTACACCGCAAGTGTAACCTGTTTTACTGCAGCACTGTTGAAGGCCGTTGCTGTTATCATACGCAACTTTATCCACGGCAACGACACAGCTAGTGACTCGGCGTGTCCAGGCAAATTCTCCCACGAATGGATTTACACCAGTATTCAGCACGGTGGTCTTGGTCTGACACCGGTGAAGGAGTCTATTCAGGCCATGCATCTGAAGTCGTTGGGGGACGCCATTGCCGCGACTTGCCGTCGTTGCGCCGCACCTCGATGGATGGCTTTTGCACTCTCTCTATGCTCTTTAGCGTTGGGACGTCAAGGTTCCGGGTTCGATATCTTGTATGCTGTGGTCAAGGGTACTTGGCAACTTCTTCCCCCATTCTGGTATTCCACCCTCCGCCTGTGGACTGATATACAGTCGTCTCGAGGGACTTCGGATTGAAAACGTTTTGCGCAGACGGCGCCTTTTTGGAATAATTTCCATTTTCTCTTTGGCACGACTCGCGCCCTTTGGCCAAGCTATCAAAGTATTATGGCTTGCTACAAGATCTTGGACTCTGCCGGCAGCAAGAATTTGTTGATGTCTCATCTACTTTCGCCTCTTCCGCGTACTTGAAGTCTATTTTGCGCGTCGAAGACTTTCCACGCCCCGCCTCCAAGACTCGATTCATTACTGAAGTGATACCGCGTCTCAACTTGCTGGTTAATCACGATTCGCCTTCTTTTGGTCCTGTATTTCCGCGCTTGATCGAATCAGCGCGGCATGATTGGAGTATTGATGGCACGGTGGTGGCAGACATGACCAATCGAGACTTTGTCCGTCTTCTCCTCTCCTTACGCTTCGGTTCGTCGACCCCTTCGCTTCCTCTACAACAACTTGGTGTTCCCGAGTATTTACCTTCGTCTGGATTGTGGATCTTGGAGTATGGTCTTGATCGTCATGTTCTTCCAGTCGCCGCCGATGTTAAATTCCGTCTTCAACACAACGCGCTGGGATTCCGGTACAAGTTTTGCTGGCGTACAGAGATTACCACATCTTCGTCTTGCATTCATGATTGTGACGCCATGGAAACCGCTATTCATCTCTCTTGGCTTTGCCCTGTCGCCAAGTATCAATGGAATTTTTTCTTGCAGCCTTTTCGAGACTGTTTAGATGGCAACGTCTCGTGGATTCATATTCTGTTTCCTGCTTCGCTACGTATGCTTCCTTCTGCCATCATGGTTTTTGGGAATCGTGCGATTCTGATCGTCTTCCATGTTGTTCGCTGCTGTGTTCTCCGGTCTCTTTGGCTTCATCGCAACAAAAGACTCTACAACCCCGGGACTAGTACGAATGCCGCCTTTGTCAGTCATCACTGTTTTGCCTATGTGGATCTACACTTACGCACTTTGAGGTCCTATGCGGAACGGAAGCAATGGCAAGGCCTCTTGCGCCTTGTTTTGGATACTTCATCTACTTTCTCTATGGATACGTTCTCTCATTCTACTGTTACTATGGTTTCGGATTGCTGATGGTTGGGTCACGCTATACTCGCTATGCGGTCACTAGCCTACCTCTATGGATGCGTCCTCTCTTTCTACTGTTCCTATGGTTTTGGATTGCTACTGCTTGAGTTCTACGCTTTTCATGCTATGCGATCTCTAGCCCATCTACATTACCTCGTCACGAAACATATCTTCAAGATATTTGTGGATAAAGTGTTCAATTATTCGATTAGCATGGTTATTACTATCTATCTCTACTATTGCAACCCTAGTTCTACTTACTATGGCTTCCTACTATACTCTGGATTCTATCTACGCTGCGGTCTGGATTCTATCTACGCTGCGTTCTAGATTCTATCTACGCCTTGGTATTCCTCGCGGTTACTGGTGTTTGAAGCTCTTGGTTGAAAGCCGGTCCGCCACGTCAAGGCGGCTCCAAGTTGAACCGGGTTGGACCATTCCCGGGACCCGGGTCCGACAATTAAGTCGGATCAGGTATGCCGCCGTCAGCCCGCCTTTCCACCAGCTTGCTGCGTACCGCACATACCCCGCTACATGGATTTGAATCGTGATTCCTCGTGTCTTTTAAGCGGAATTGGGCCGCAGGTAATCACTTTTCAGTGAACAACACGTATCATCACTCTCCCAAGCCATGTGGCTAATCGTAGCTCAAGGCTACACTTCAGGCACGCCTGAAAGTCTTTACGTCGTCTATCACAAGGCTTTAAGGATGGATGGTCCCCTCGTCCCTGCTTCCAACTACGCAAAGGTGAAATTGAAGGTCGCGTTTCATCTTCGCCATCGACATCCGTACTACTCCCGTCCCCAGGGCTTTCCATTTGCCGATACCGCCGATGGCACGCTTCCCTCGCTTTCGGTTGATCATTGAGTTCGCTACTCTCAAGCGCCCTCGGGCCTGCCAGCCCATGTTCACAAGATTTCACTTCCTACCCAAGGTTTCCCCGCTGCTACTTCCTGAGATCAAGCCTTTCGCCCACGGTGACATACGAGCCAAGATGCCGCCGCACCAGCTCTGCTGCCCCGCAAGACCAAGTCCATCCCTCATTTTCGCCTCGTTCAAACTCCGTACTTCGACACCTCCTATTGACCCATGTTGTCTGTCACGACGAAGATCCCAAAAGACTCTTCTGCATCAGGTCGGAAGCTCCGCTTCACGGTGCGGGTTTCCTTGCCCTTCTGGCTTGTCTCCAAACCCCGGCAAGTTAACCCGCCTCAACAGCCTTACGGCCTCACGGGAACAAGCTCGCATCTCAACCTCCAAATGCCCGAAGGCACGGTCACCGCCTAGAGAGTTGAACTCTACATCACCAGCAAGCTGGCTACCCCCACGGGGGCGGTGTGTTTGTTTCTTTTTATCTTTACGCTACTTCTGCCTCTGCCAACAATTCTATATTTTTATAGCTAAGTATTAGCCAGGAATTAAAATTATTGAACAAACAATTTTCCCAAGGGGCCGACTTAAGAACTGGTACTTGATTAATTTCGTGGACCACGAGTCTAATTACTGTCGCGTATTTTTTTGCTTAGGCAAACGATAAGGTAGTGACTAAGCTCGAGCAAATTTTGGCCTTCTTTGAGCGTCATTTGATGTCGAGTAGATATTCTAAGAACTGACAGTGGAGAAGAGTACAAAAATGTCGACCTGTTCTACAAGTTCACAGACGGTTCAAGACAAGTCATTGAAGCTATAAATTAAGCATCGACTGGAAAAGCTGAGAGAATGCACCGGACGGTGCTTGATATGGCTTGCTCGATAAGATTTGTAACTCAATTGCATTTGTCGTTCTGGAGTGATGCGGTTGAATATTCCTCATGTATACTTTATTGCAGCCCACCAAGCGCAAATTACAAAAGGGTATCGCCTGTGGAGATACTTACGAAGCGTGTTCTTAATTTACGTGACATTGAGGTTTTAAATCTTTGCGTTTTGTTTACCACGACACGCGCACGAATTCGCAGGTTGGTTGAAGTGGCGGCTTACGACTTAGTCCTGTCGCCTTTTATTAGCTTCGGTCAGCTTCGGCTGCAGGAATAGTTTACTTGAACATGAGCGGTAGAGAGGCAAAATAGATAACACTTAGGCAGCAGATTTTGACAGAATCCGCGTAATTCAGTGCTACAGACTTTCTCTCTGACACTAGCACAGTTGTCAGCGAACACCGGCATGAAGCCTTTAGCTGCAAGGAGTGGCACCTCTCTGCCGTGCTCTAGAGCGTCAGCGAAGAAGTGCGCTTTTACCAGCCAATCTACGGTGTTGGGTGCACGTCGCACCCGAATCGCTTGAGCTTCTTGCAACAGTTCCTCTTTCGGCTCTGCTTCCGCAGTCCTAGTCGGTCTTTTTACTTGCTGTTTCCGCTTGACAAATGCGGTCCGCGGTTCGATCGACGCATTTACCGTCGGCGGGGTCCTCGCTTGTTCCGCTCGCAGTCAATTCTTCTTCCACTGCTTCAAGACCCGCGCTTTTTTGGTACACCGCATCGGTGTACCCTTTCGTGTTTTGGTACTCCCCCTGTACTAGCATTGGTGGCTGCATGGCTGCAGGCATTAGCCATCCCGTCGGGATGTATTCCTCCCAGCCTGGAGGCAGTGTGTCTTCGACGGCTTGGATCGTGTCGTGGTTTCTTGCTATTGCTATTGTTGTCTTACTTCTATCCTTACTTTTCTTTTTATGCTAACTCTACTTACGTCTAAACCTAATAAACTATTATTAAACCAGGTAATATACAGTGGGATGCGCTACCGCATATGCCGCCGATAGCCCGTACCGCACCGAGGTGCTGCTAGAGGTAAGCATACGCTGAACCCGACGAGTACATACCTGCACATAGGCGATGATAAGCCATCCATAGCCCGTTAAAAATATCGCATTGTTCTAGACTGGGATCACCCTCATCGCCGCACGTGCGCAACCGACGCTAGTCATCACGATCATCAGTGGGTGGAGTGTCGTTACGCGATGCCAAGCGGTAGCATTTAGCTATCCAACCGTCCTGCTACGTGCGCGTAGATTTGTTAAGTGTTTTGCTGCAGTAGGTCGATGAGCGCGTGACTGAAAAGCCCCGTCGCGGGGTGACATTCCATGTTTCAAGCACCTGCAGAACCATCAATAGCCATATAAGGCGCAGCAAAGAACGGTATTTTGTAGCGACATACGACGCAACACTCCAAGGACGGCTATGATAACAATATGTGCTGTACGCTCGTACGACTGATTGCAGATGCACAAGATAGCAATGGCTATCATCATATTGTGTGTTGTACGCTAGGTCATTTTCTATAGACGCGCACTCCTTGGACGGCATCATCACATTAAGCGTTGTCGCTTGCACGACTTGTTCTAAAAGGTGCACACGCCATGGAAGAGCACCAGCGCTTAGTGTGTTGTAGCTCGTATCCTACACACTCCATTCATGGATACTAACGCATTGTTGGTTGTGCGCTCGTGTCCTTGGAGTGTGTATGATACGAGCGTACAACACGCAATATGATGATCCTATCCTTGGAGTGTGTATGATACGAGGGTACAACGTACGCATCCTTGATGTGTGCATCATGTGTAGCTATGGCACATTACTTTACCGTACATACGCCAATCTTTGCAGATAATGGGTATCCGAAAAAACCGAGTAGAGACGAGTATTTGCCATGACGTTGAATTGTATGTTTCGGTAGGTTTATACCTTGCAGATTGATTTTCCTATATACTATCAAAGTAAATTCGTGCCAAAGCAAGTATGCGCATCCTGTTTACTACAACGTGCGTGGCTATTACTGTGTGACGGTTAGTAATTGTCCACAAGCAAAGCCCTACGACACTACATTCCGGTCAGCCACACAAAATTGGACATAAATCAAGAAAACCAATGGATATTCTTTTTGCTGAACTGAAAGCAAACGCAAGTCCGTCAAGTTTGGATGAAGTCGCACACGAGGTCAAAGAGGAAAGGACCATTCTTTCTGCTGCAACCGAAGCGATTGCAAGCACTTTGAGTCTAGAAGTTGACCTCACGAGGTTGCTCAAGGCACGCCATAACTGAACGAAAGAGGTTGTAAGAGTTTTTACGACGTAATAACGAAGTATCTTGAAGACTGAAACTTGGACCATTGGTCTTCGTGCGTGACAGTAAAAAGGATTCCGAATGTACGTTTTTCAAAGCCCTCCACTATTACTTTGGATCTACCAGTGTTGACAAGATCATGGAAGATTTGAACAAGGGCTACAATTTAACACCCGACGATCCACATATCAAGTGGCGAAAAGCTAAATTGACACCGAAGAAGGCCTTTGAATGTTTATTGAAGCCGAGCAAGAACACGGTTGATGATGTTCTGGGGACCCAAAATATCTGTATTGGATTGACTACGTACAACATTACATTGATGCAAACCCCACCAGTCAAGCCTCGATTGCGGAAACAATCAGCAAAGTTACGATAAGGAAATCAAGAGCAATGTAGCTGCAAAGAAGGACCCTCCAGCTGTAGCAGAGCTACTGTAACAAAGCTACCCTTGCAAAGAAGACAAACTTGAAGCGCTGTATATCTTAGGTTTCTTGACTTTCCCAAGGCTAGCTTATCAAGCATGTTTCTTTTGGTTGTAACCACCACGTCTCCAAGAGACCAGTATTCAAGATACACCCTTTTAAGGACTAATGCTCTAGCACGTTTACTATTTAAGGCACGTTTTGAGCTGATTTTTATTAATGTTTATCACTAGCACTAAATTTAAAAGCACCTACTCTATACTAGTGCTAGTCACTATTTATCCGGCTCTGTAGCCTTCTAATATGTAAAAATGTATAGTCATTATACTCACCCTAAGAATAATGTGTCGATGCGGACCCTTCGTACCTTAGGTAAGGTACTATACCTAAGGTATAACCACATCACAATGGTGTGGCACGCCATTTGTGAGCAGTACCTGATTAAGGACAAAACACCAAACAATGTTTTTAAGCTGTTGGGGCTGGTCGATCGTTATGAAGGGAACAGCTCGGTCTTCTGACCCGCAAAACAATCTTGAGATGGTCAAATTACATGGAGCACTACAACATGAAGCAACCCCAACAGCCGCACGACACTCTTTCAAACCTTGCAAGCAAATTCACACATCCCAAAAATTTGTCGTTTGTCGTAGTGCAACGCAGAAACGCTGGCTGAGAGAGCGTAAACACCCAGTGTATGCCTTAACAATGATGGAGCTTGACGAAGTCAGCTCTCTTTTGTTATGAGGTACATGAACATATGGTTAGATTACATGGGCAGATATTACGATGGGGCCAATTACGAGCTGGTAAAAGAGCTTTCTCATTTGGATTATCCTACGCCAAGCTGGTGGATATCCTTACGACGAAGACTTATTTACATTGCTAAATGGGCTAATGCGAACTTGGCTTAAGAAAAAGAGGTTTCCAACTGCTCTTTTCGTGCTTTTCGGACTCAACCAGATCCTACGATGAGGAACGCATTGCCATATCACTATACAAAACATTTTGATCGCACGCTGGGCAAAAACGGACAGGATCCGCAATCGAAAGTAATGGGAAAAGTCATGCTGGAAGATGTTCGAAAGTGGAAAAAGCGTTTGCGACGAAAAAAAAAGGTTCACTGCAACGTTATCGATGGACACTTGGCAAACGCTTTCTTCGGCTAGCTGGAAGTTCTGGATGGGCGATAGAATTGATGTAGATGGAATCAAGTAATTTGATTCGTAACAGTAAGAGCGCAAGAGCCTAATGCGATACGTCAGAAACTGAAACGTATTGTGCAAGGTGAGAGTAAATCAAGTACTGATGACGACACATCTGTCAATCCTGTTGCATGCGATAGCGAATGATAAATGACGACCACAATGACAACCACACGATCACCACATGAGATGCTGATAGTAGTGCGGATAGGATCAATGTGAAAGCCTTCATAATACAACTTCTTTTACACCCCCATCGCAATAATAACACTGAGTTTGCCATATGTCGTTGTTCTATAGTGCTAAATCTGTCAGCGCAATCGATATGTTCCTTATGATGTGGACTGAATAGCTGTTGTTCCTGACCGCCTTTCATCCGAGGAAGACTTCTGATCGTGTGAGTTGCTGAGCGAAAACCAGATTTTTTGGATTAGGGGGGGTGCGGACGTGGCTCCATCTTTCTGGGCAGCTTCAAGCGCTTTTACCTGAACCTCCAAACTAGCATTGAAATAAATCTCTTAATAGCACATGGATATGTGCTGCTCAAGCAACTTCATCCAATTCCTGTCGACGTTCGACAATATTCCTGCTCCTTCCTTGACCACCATGCCAGTTTTGGCATTGCTGCCGTACATTTGAGCGTGGACCAGCAGTAGGAATATCTAATAAAGCAGAGCACCATCAACCCGGATGTGCACTGGTAAGACTCCTGATCAACTCAGTCCAAATGTATTCTTCATGCTTCACAAGACCCACCTGCAATACAGGAATACGTAACGTTCGTCCCTTTAGAGTTTGTGACCGGGTATCTAAATTGGAAAGCGCAGCAATACAGGACGCGGTGTCATATAAAATGATTGTCGACTTTTACGTCACTCACGTCAAGACAGCAAGCCACAATCCGAGGACGGGCCTTACGTTTGATGTCGACACAGTGTCAATACATTGCCACAATTGAAGGTCCGTGTTAGTATGACCCCATCTCCACTTGCAAGTAACTCCAATGTATACCAGAATAAATTGACACGTATATCAGTTCTTGGGTCCACCACCAACAATAGAAATGCCTACACCTTGGAGACTCAATGCTGCATGCACTGCCGGTGCAGTCAAAAGCGTTGAAGAAGCTGTATTGCGCTGTTTCCGTTATGTCAGACATTGCTACCAAATTGTTAGCAGCTTAAAAACTGCTGACGCGGTCTCCTCACCTAGTCGCGTGTCAGGGAAATGTAGCATGCTAGTGGTGTATCCGTAGATGTTTCGATGCCCAGCGTACCTCCAAGCGCAGCAAGGCACCGCTGAATTTGTCCAAATCAAAACTTCCAATACGCAGCGGACGATTGTCACCAGCCGCCGAAGGGTGCATGCCCACAAACAAGCGTTCCTCTGTATGCTCATCCCACGTATAATCCAGGCTGTGACGTGGTAGTAAAATCTCGCTGCGGCACCGTTTTCTGTTGATGTGCTCGATGCGTTTCCAGCGAGTGCTTTTTCACACGATGTGGCAGTACGGTCGTTCGTTCTTCTCAGAAGCACACGAATAGACACGTCGAGTCCAAATTTAGGGTCACACACAACCTTACTTTCCCGCGTAGATTCATGACGCATTGAAGAGCATACTCACCAGACTCAACCAAAGGCGCTGCACCACTCCACAACCACCCATATTCTGCAAGACGGCAACAGATCGTGCGTGGCTTAGCAAATCAGAAGTCCAATGAGAATCAGCATATTCGACGGCATCAAGGCAACAGCAAGCTTATTGTTCAGCCATGCATAAACGTACACTTTATGTATCTGCTTTCTTCTCAAACGAATTTGCCAAGCATATGCACTATTGTCATGAGCTCTGAACCTTTTTATCCCAATGAAATTCGTGTCTAATTGTAAGCAATCACATCTGCTTTACAGCCGAATGCTGTAGTAGACGACGTCTACATCTGCTAGGTTGCTCGTGGCTTGAACGTGTTCGTAAAGGCTAGTGATGGCACGAACTTGGAGAGGTCGGCTACATGTATCCAAGCTTCTCTTCGCACGCACTTCCATTAGGTTGCCATCATACATGTTTGCAGCTGCAATCATCTGCTTGTCTGCGTAAGTGTAGGACGTATAAGGAATAGCAACTGCGTAATTGAGACTTCGACTCCGCTGTTGTACCTTTTCTTCTAAAACCATACCGTGCTTGCAAGTATCGTCCATGACATCGAAGATACGAGATTCTTGCGCTACAACTCAGTATGGTCAAACGTGGGTGACCATCAAGAAATGATGTCTATACATCTAGTTTACCTGTGCGAATCCTATCTGATAGACTGCATGTAGTATTAATACAGACAATACCTTGCTGGCTCCAAAGGTGGCGACAGTTTCAGTTGCTACATGTGATACTAATAACAATCAACTCAAGTCAGTTATCGCCAAGCAATATACAAATATAGTAAAGCAAGAACCTACAAAGGTATAAGACGAATTACACTTTATTGCTATCAATACGAGACAAATAATGGCACAATATGAAGATGAAGAGAACGAATGCGTAGTATACTACGACTTGGATGCAGAATCTCGTAGCCGAAGCTTATTACGAACATCTAAAGCTACTTCCATCTCCGTGCAATCTCCTGTTGAAGTAATAGCAGCGACAAAAGGTGTTCGAGAGCTTAGTGGCCACCAAATTTTTCCACGGCAGCATACGCCTCTATTTAATCTCGGTAGGTAGTACAGTTGAATGGTAGTATACAAGTTGTGGTTCAGTTATATTGACGTTTGTGTTGAGAAGACGATAGTGAAGACGAAGCGACTGAAGGAAAGAACCCGTTCGAGTCACTTTTGCAACAACAGACACAAACGACGACAAAGTCCGTAGAACTGATACAAGAAAAGGCTTCGAGTCGTGAGATTGCTGAAAGAAGTCACGGTGTGTCGTTGGTGACAGCGGTCAATGGCATTGTATTAAATGAGAAGATTGGACAAGAGGCAATCAGTAAAGACAGCAAAACTTTCAAAAGTAGCTGCAATGAAGATAACTTGTACTCGACATGGAAGCATAGTCAGCAAGCTAATGAACTAAAAGCTATAGCGAATACTAAGAGCACTAAGAAGTTGGGTTTCGAAGCAGCAGACTTACGGCCAGTGAGGTGGAGCACGAGAAAAGTAGCACCCTCAGACACCAAGAATCGCCGCAAGTCATTGAACGCGATTTCAAAACGACGGTCGCAGCTGGAGACATCGATAGCTAAGAGGCAAGGTATTGTGTTTTTTTCTTGAGGATACCGAGCGGCTATTGACACTTTTAGTTTTTTTATGATGCTATTCTTAGACGCAAGTCAATGCCAATGAATTTGTCAGATTCACGGGTAGCACACAATCAAGCGAGTCTAAACGATAGACCGAATGCCACATGTTCTTTATCTAATGGACGACTCCTGTCAAATGTATTGCACCGCGCCACGCTGTTGTCACAACGACAGCAAACGGCTAGTGATGAAACTTTACTGGCTCAGGTGTGCGAGTATTGCGGCGTCATAGGCGAACAATACTGTTTTGCTGTTACTAACCTATTTATTTGCTACGTATGATAAATGCTTAATGTATTGCAGGGCATAGAAGGAAATTACATGGATGGTGGTGATGCGATCTTGGATACTGAACATCACATGCAAGCTGAAGAGTTTGTGCCGCACGTTTTTTCTCCGGTTAAGCCCGCGTCGACAACTACTGCTCTCAGTCGGAAGCTGAAGGATGATGTAGTTGTCTCTAAGATTCGCGGTGGGATCGGTGATGTAATTCGTAAGGCAACTCGCAAGAGTAATAGGGAGCTTACGCTGCTTCGATCGCACAAGCAACATCTTTTTCCGCAACATGGCAATCACTCCCCACGAATGACTTTTCTTGGCTTAGTAGAGTCGATCCAGAACCGTGCCTACATTGAGATCTGTCTGACAAGGTATTGCGGGACATTATCACACTTTGCTGCGTACGAATGTCATGTCCATCAAGTTACGGCCAAATTGAAGAAGCCCACCGCGGATGAACTCAAGGAGAAGCACTCGATAGTGCTTGAAGCTCAGTTTCATCCTCGAACGGCCGAATATCTCAAGCTATCCCCCGGAAAACTGCTGAGAGTGTTCGAGCCGCTTCATTTCTTGTTGGAGCACGTGGCAGCTGGTTCTGTCAGTAAGGTGAAGTGGTTTTTGGTCAGCACACAATTAACTCAGGTTCTAGAAGGCAATCATCAATGTGCTGAACGGCATCTTTAGAGATGTCTATTGAAGGTAATGAAGTAATTAAAGTTCTTGCTTGTACTATTGCGACGATGCTACTTGCTCAAAACTGATGCGTCCATGTTGATACGTTCTTGACTAATCAATGATCTTATATCTATTGCTGTGGCATTGAATCATCTTTCGGCAAAAGCTTGCTGTAACCTATAGCTGAGTCTCAAACCACCTTGAGGAACGCAACAAAAGTAGCGCCTGTGCTAAATTTGTACCAACAGCATGCATTATCCCTGCCCATTCAGCTTCTTGGAGCAAGTAGAACGTATGGCAATACGAAGTGATTTGTTTGCTATAGAAACTGATCAAACCTTTACAATGCCGAATACTGCTATCAACTCCCGCTAACAGCCCTATCATTTTAACAATGTCGAGCAACTAATGCAGCCATTGTAAATCACACCTGCCAAGTTTCGTGCCGCAAAATTCAAGCGTACAGCATGAAATGACGCTGCAGTGAGCGAGAATAACCTTGTTCATGTAACCTTTCTTGGTCTGCCCAATCTTGAAAGCATCTCCCGCACCCATAACAAGCTTCAGTTGGAGCAGATTTTCCAAAGCTTTACGGGCTTCGCTGCGCGTTGGTAGTTGTGCAAGCATGTCGTGCAAGCATGTCGTGAAGACGAAAAAAGTTTTCCCACCAAGAGTATACCATTTCCAGCGTAAGCACACGCTGACTGCCTTTCCCAAATGTCCCATGCCGATTAGCAGCGCGATACCATGCTCCGTAACAGTCTCTAAAACAGCAAGTTGATGGTCTTGCTCCAGCAAATGCCTCGCCAGCCGAAAATGCTGAGCTGTGAGGAGCGGCTCATCAACACTTATGTAATAGACGGCAGCTACAGCAAGCCGTACAAAACAATCCTGCGACTCGCCAATGTCGTAGTCAAACTCGAGACTCGCAAGGAACTTACTTGGCTCCACAAACAGTTCATACACACTGGTGGAGAAAGCTGCTGTGTAGTCGGCAGATGGCTGTCTGAGGTCACTGTAAAAGTCCCATGAAATCTTGTCGAAAGAGAGCAGGTCTACCAGGTTATTGCCGGATCTTCGCGAAGGAGGGTTGTTCAAGAACGATCTGGAGGTTCGAGAATCTGGTACACACTCAAGCAGGAAATACAGCAGAGTAAATATGAGCCGTCATCTACTCATCAGACGCTAAACTCAATGCACCTAATCGATTTCAAGCAGCAAAAGATGATTCAAATATTCTGCCTGGAACGCATTTGCTTTTCGAATTGTCCACGACATTGTAATCATCCGTGATACCAAGCACACCCAGCTTGATGTCTGTTGCCTATGTTAAGTGAGCAATACGGCATGTAAATTACGACACGTCCAAGTATTTGAAAAAGCTCCACAAGTAGAACCTAAAGCCAATCAAGCAAGTTGTATAGCAAAAATTGCTTGGCATTGCTCTTTTCTTGCGCAAAATGCTTGAAGGTATCTACAATGATGATCATATGATCCTGTGCATTGGATTTGGCGACAAGTAAACCACGTAGATACTCGTACATATTCCAGTAAGACAGCTGCCTATCCACAAAACAATATTTCATCAAGATAATGTCATAACAACGTAATCCGTACTTTCAACATTTATACTCCCGGCACAATCAATGGTAAAAGCAAACCGGATGCTTCACTGCAGTGGTTCTACGACTAAGCTGTGCCGTTAGTTCCTCTAAAGCCTCTAGCTCATTCTGCAGTATGACACTATTGAGGTATACGACCGTAAAGTCGCCGTATGTAGCACACATGTTTCTCATTGCACATGTAACGATCGAGTGTCTATAGCTGCCCATAGATCCAAGTAAGAATCCTGACTGGTTCTCGCCAAACTGCACTGTCCGCTCAAGAAGCTGCTCAAGTTGTGTCACTGCTTCAAGTCTACAATGTTTGGGCGTAACTGACTTGATTTTACTGTTATTACTATCACATGTATCGATTGAACCTTGGACGTCTTTATTCGTAAGACGCAGAGCACAACGCACAGAGCGTATCTATCTCTTCTCTAACGGTATCATAAAGCTATGCACTTTGTGAGGTTGTTTTCGTAACAAATGAAAGCAAAAAAGACCTGAAAGTGATGTGGATTTATATACTTCGAGTAGCTTTAGGAACCACTTTGGAGGTCGTCCGTAAAAATATACTTGTAAAACGGTAATATAAAATAGTATAGTAGACAAATACTACAAGTATCACCGTTTTAGCTGTATCAATACTACATGCAGTTTATCTTTTGAACAAGCAAATGAACATTATCAAACAACACACATCTATAGGGATAATGACACCTTGTAGAACCTCGTCGATGTGATGGAAGGTAGATCTGTAGGCCAAGCATGTATAATTGTACAGAGTAATAGCAGATTGTGGAAAAAACGATTGAGAAACGAATTTGCAGCCAAAGAAAACTCTCGTGGCGCTTGACGATTGTGTCTGCCGACTCTGAATGTTCGGTTTACTTTGCTGCTACTAAGCATCATGTGCTCGTGTAACGTGGTTGTGTCGAGTAACTTTTTAGCTTTATATTATTTAGACTTATATGCACATCTATAGAAGCGAACAAAAACGTTTTTATCGTATCAAGTAACTTTCAGACTGGAAATATATAAAAAGTGCTTTCTTACAGCTTAACCACCTGCGTATGAAGCATATAGGACACTTGGTGCAGGACACGCAGTAGCGTTACTTTGCGAACGAACTGAAGTGATTAGTTGATAATCAGCTAAAGAAATCAATCTAATTTGTCTAGATTTATCTAGAATGCAAATAATAGTAACCAAGTACAAATAAAATGCTTTCCAGCACCGTTATATCATGTAATCAATCTGATAGGATTCGCACAGGTAAACTAGATGTATAGACATCATTTCTTGATGGTCACTCACGTTTGACCATACTGAGTTGTAGCGCAAGAATCTCGTATCTTCGATGTCATGGACGATACTTGCAAGCACGGTATGGTTTTAAGAAGAAAAACTTGCAAGCACGGTATGGTTATAGAAGAAAAGGTGCAACAGCGGAGTCGAAGTCTCAATTACGCAGTTGCTATTCCTTATACGTCCTACACTTACGCAGACAAGCAGATGATTGCAGCTGCAAACATGTATGATGGCAACCTAATGGAAGTGCGTGCGAAGAGAAGCTTGGATACATGTAGCCGACCTCTCCAAGTTCGTGCCATCACTAGCCTTTACGAACACGTTCAAGCCACGAGCAACCTAGCAGATGTAGACGCCGTCTACTACAGCATTCGGCTGTAAAGCAGATGTGATTGCTTACAATTAGACACGAATTTCATTGGGATAAAAAGGTTCAGAGCTCATGACAATAGTGCATATGCTTGGCAAATTCGTTTGAGAAGAAAGCAGATACATAAAGTGTACGTTTATGCATGGCTGAACAATAAGCTTGCTGTTGCCTTGATGCCGTCGAATATGCTGATTCTCATTAGACTTCTGATTTGCTAAGCCACGCACGATCTGTTGCCGTCTTGCGAATATGGGTGGTCGTGGAGTGGTGCAGCGCCTTTGGTTGAGTCTGGTGAGTATGCTCTTCAATGCGTCATGAATCTACGCGGGAAAGTAAGGTTGTGTGTGACCCTAAATTTGGACTCGACGTGTGCTTCCGAGAAGAACGAACGACCGTACTGCCACATCGTGTGAAAAAGTACTCGCTGGAAACGCATCGAGCACATTAACAGAAAACGGTGCCGCAGCGAGATTTTACTACACGTCACAGCCTGGATTATACGTGGGATGAGCATACAGAGGAACGCTTGTTTGTGGACATGCACCCCTCGGCGGCTGGTGACAATCGTCCGCTGCGTATTGGAAGTTTTGATTTGGACAAATTCAGCGGTGCCTTGCTGCGCTTGGAGGTACGCTGGGCATCGAAACATCTACGGATACACCACTAGCGTGCTACATTTCCCTGACACGCGACTAGGTGAGGATACCGCGTCAGCAGTTTTTAAGCTGCTCACAATTTGGTAGCAATGTCTGACATAACGGAAATAGTGCAATACAGCTTCTTCAACGCTTTTGACTGCACCGGCAGTGCATGCAGCATTGAGTCTCCAAGGTGTAGGCATTTCTATTGTTGGTGGTGGACCCAAGAACTGATATACGTGTCAATTTATTCTGGTATACATTGGAGTTACTTGCAAGTGGAGATGGGGTCATACTAACACGGACCTTCGATTGTGGTAATGTATTGTCACTGTGTCGACATCAAACGTAAGGCCCGTCCTCGGATTGTGGCTTGCTGTCTTGACGTGAGTGACGTAAAAGTCGACAATCATTTTATATGACACCGCGTCCTGTATTGCTGCGCTTTCCAATTTAGATACCCGGTCACAAACTCTAAAGGGACGAACGTTACGTATTCCTGTATTGCAGGTGGGTCTTGTGAAGCATGAAGAATACATTTGGACTAAGTTGATCAGGGAGTCTTACCGGTGTGGAGTGTTGCGTCGTATGCCGCTACAGGATATATAACATTACATTGTGTGTTGTACGCTCCTATATTGTGCCTTATATGGCTATAGGATGGGTCTGTAGGTGCTTAAAGCATGAATGATCACCTTCTGCTCAGAAGCCGAGGCGATAGACTCCAGCAGTTAATGAATCTTTTGCTGCGTCCATCACCACCGGATCAGGAGGAATGGCAGCAGCAGTACATGCAAGCGCCCACCAGCCTGACTTTGGGGGCGATAAGCTGGGCGACGCCGGAGGAATGTGGGCGGAGCTCTCTCGACCACTCGTGCCCTTGCCACCGGCAATGACACCAGAAGACGAGGCTTTTTGGTCCACGCACTCGTGGCAGATAATCCTTGGATTTCAGACCAGCAGGGCAACGTCGTATTAGCACGGAAGTACGACACAATACGGCCCTATGCCATCGCGGAGCTACAAGTACTCGTCCTAGTGTAAAATAAACCAGCACCACTTGTTATTTAAATTTTGCCCAATAGTCGCAGCAACTAGTCAGCGAGACTGCATTTCCAGCTGCATCAGTATTTCGACCAGTGACGCTATATCCATCTAAATAGCGTTATGATATCAAAACGCTTCAACACTCGCTGACAAAAGCAGTGTAAATGGCAATTTTCGCAGCCAGAGCTTCCATGACAAATTCAACGTTAAGTGTAAGGAGGTGGCAACTGTCCACCTACACGGAAAGCAAATGCAACTTGTAGTATTCTCCGCTTGGCAGTAGCTCAATACATAAAGCTGGTTTAGTCAGTCTATGCGTGCATACTGCGGCAAGACATATCAAACTAATTCCAAGTAGTCCCTACCACTAAGTGTTCCACCAAGCATCGACACAGTAATCTCTCTATACGTCGCCTCCCCTTCCTCCCCCACCACACGCACCATTCGACCTTTGGCGACACGTTTGCAGCAAGATTGTAACTTGTTCCAGCATTTTGCCTCGCCGCTTTGTTTTGCTCTCACTCTTTCAAGTAATATAGGTCAATCTCATTTCCACTTATCGTCCCCTGGTGACGCACAAGCAGAAAGATCCTTAGCAATATGCTTGCACGCGGCCCAACGTAGTCCAGTACAAGGCCGAGCATGAAGGTATTTAGTGCATGAATGGAGCTTAGAGACCAGCTGACTTTACTGCTTTATATATGCTATCGCCTGTCACAGCCAGACGTGGTATTGCGGTTTGATGTTTGATACGCTAAATTGTGTGACTTACACACTGTCGCAGTGTCGAGCTTGAAGTAGAGCGGATGTAAGATTGCGACATTATGTGCTCTTTTTTTGTCTGATGGCCGGACGTTAGGAGCGATTTACCTCACGCCACGCACGTATCATATCTGAACCATCTAGCACCAAGAAAGTTACTATTAAACCTCTTTGTGGGATCAGACCCTAGTCTAGTAGGAGTTCGTTACTGAAAGCACTGTCTTGAATAATATAGGGTCATCCTACTGCTCAGGATAAAGAGGCAGTTGTTACAAGTCTTAAGGTTTTCTCCTTGGATGTGAATTTCTTCTACAAAACACACTTATGAGCTTGACAGTTAGTTTTTCGCGCAAACGTCTCATTAAGTGACTAATTAATTATTACCTGATGTTTACAATTTTACGACTTGACATATTTATATTGAGTATGAAATATTCTAAAGCGAATCAGTTTCAAGAACCTCGTAAATAGAATTTTCTCAGAATACCGACTTGACAAAGGCGCTCATTTCTTGGTGGTATGGTGATAAAAAAAGAACTCTGATCACTCCAGCAAAGCCCTTCATTCGCCATTTTGATTATAGACTTGTATAGATAAGATGCAACACAAGCAAGTAGACGAGAGACCAGAGCTAGCACTAGCTTCCCAAGTTACTACCACTAGCCCTGCATGTGAGCAAGATACGATCACTTATTGCCAGAAGGAAGCCAATCTGGTGGCACTGCTGCGCGCTGCGCCTAACTTGGTTGAACCTCTCAAGATTGTCGAGGCAGTACGCAAGGTGCGCTTCTGCATGATTGCGCACGCCGATGTGCTGTCCGTAGACTGCATGAATACGCTAGCAGCTGACACTAATGCCAAAGCGTCCACGGCGGCAGTATCTTTGTCTTCAAAAAAGGTGGTGCCGCTGCATAACAACGGACTCGACGACGACTCGTCAATGGAAATTAACATCTATTACTCTAGACATCACAACGGCGCAGGCCACGCGCTGCGTTCGGGAAGCGCGCTAGCTGCCAACCACGTACAGTCGGATGGATTGATGTCTAACCTCGCAGAAGTGTTGGTACATCCGCTCACATGGACGTTTGTGCTGCCATTCTTTGTTATTGGTGTATACGTTTGTATCACGAGGTTAGCGACTTTTGTGCGTCGGCGGCGGGTGGAGCGTCGAATTGAGAGCAAGCAATATATGCCCGTTAATTGATGACGAGAGTATAAGGAACGCGGTAGAGCATATGTATAGATAATGAATACAGCATGTTTTTGGTATCTTATGACGCACTGAATGTATTTCAAGCCACCTGGACTCAAGATTGAAAGCATTGACTTCGATGGGTGTAACTTGTGTAGAAAACACTGAGTTATGTGTACCACGCATTGAATCGACTTTGACGCGTGGATCTAAGTCACAAAACTTAACACGTGACAATGCAACAGAGTGGCTATAGCGGCTATGACCAGCAGCAAGGCACCTACGGTCAGCCTCAGCAATATGAACAACAGCAACAGCATCAGCAGTATGCGCAACAGCAACAAGGAGGCTACAATCAGCAGCAGCAGTATGTCCAACAGCAACAAGGAGGCTATGACCAGCAGCACCAGCAGTACGGCCAACAGGGAGGTTACGACCAGTATAGTCAGCAACAACAGGGAGGATACGATCAGTATGGACAGCAAGGAGGCTATCATCCAGGCATGCAACCACACGAGTGGGACTTTCACGCCATGGAAGCCAAGGACGGCGTACGTTTTTCTTGGAATTCGTGGCCTTGCACTAAGCTGGAGCAAACACGCTGCGTGATGCCGACAGGTTGTCTGTACCAGCCTTTGAAGCCAATTGATGGAATGCCGCCTGCCGTGGAGTACGATCCTATCCATTGCAAGGCCTGTGCCGCCGTGCTTAACCCTTTTTGTCAGGTCGACTTCGTCTCCAAGCTTTGGGTTTGTCCCTTTTGCGTGACACGCAACCACTTTCCTCCACATTATGCCGAGAATATCACGCAAGAGAATCTTCCAGCTGAGCTTATTCCAGAATATACGACACTGGAGTACGAGCTGCAAAATCGCCAAGCCGGACCTCCCGTATTCGTCTTTTGTATTGACACGTGCGTTCCTGAGGAGGAACTTGAAGAGCTTAAGGATTCTATCCAGCAAACACTCAACCAATTACCTCCTGATGCTCTTATTGGTCTCGTTACCTTTGGCACTATGGTGCATGTTCACGAGCTAGGATTCCCCGAAGTACCAAAGTCTCATGTCTTCCGAGGTAACAAAGACTTTACTGCTCAGCAGGTTTACGATATGTTGGGCTTGGCTTTGGCACGAAAGCAGCAGCAAGCGATGGGCCAGCCGCAACAACAGCAAACTAGCAACTCGGCTCGTTTTCTTCTCCCAGTGTTTGAATGCGGTTTTACACTTGAATCCATTTTAGAGGATTTACAGCGTGATCCGTGGCCCGTGGCAGCCGATCAACGACCACAACGATGCACGGGTGTTGCCATGTCAGTGTGTGTCGGTCTTCTCGAGGCCACATTCCGTGGCCAAGGAGCCCGTATTATGATGTTTGTTGGCGGACCTCCTACAGTTGGCCCTGGTGCTATTGTCAGCCGTGACCGCAAGGAGGACATTCGCTCGCACACTGATTTGCAGAAAGACAAGGCGCCGCTCACCAAGAAAGCGCTGGCGCATTACGACGATCTGGCTGCCCGCTGTGTGGCCTCAAGTCACGTGGTGGATATATTCGCATGCTCTCTCGATCAAAGTGGTGTGATGGAGATGGCAGCTTGTGTACAAAAGACTGGTGGTGTGATTGTACTTGCCGACTCATTTGGTCAGTCTGTTTTCCGCGAGTCATTCCGACGCATGTTTAGCAAGTTTTCGGATGAAGCAGCAGATTGCGATAAGGACCAGCTTACCATGGCTTTTGCAGCTTCGGTGGAGGTGCTTACAAGCCGTGAGTTTAAGGTGGCGGGTGCCATTGGTCCTTGCGCTCCGTTAAAGCGCCAGGGTGCGGCGCCAAAGAACGTATCTGAGATAGCGATTGGTGTCGGTGGTACAAACGCTTGGTCAATGGGCGGCATTGATCCCAACACCACTGTCGCTATTTACTTTGACATTTCGAACCAGACTCCGCTGGCACCCGGGAAGGCTCGCTACATACAGCTGATTACGCGTTACCAGCACGCGAGTGGGCGTTATCGCACCCGTGTGACCACAATCTGTGGTCCTTGGACGGTGGATCCGAACGACACACTGACGCTAGGACGTGGTTTTGATCAAGAGGCAGCCGCTGTTTTATTAGCACGTATTGCTGTGCATCGCTCGGAGCAAGGTGAAGAGCAGCTTGACATTATGCGGTGGATCGATCGGTCACTCATCCGTCTGGCCTCTCGTTTTGCCGAGTACCGCAAGGACGATCCATCCTCTTTCCGGCTGTCACCAGAGTTTGCTATCTTCCCTCAGTTTATGTTTCACTTGCGACGATCGCAGTTTTTGACGGTGTTCGGTTACTCACCCGATGAGAGTTCGTACTACCGTCACTGCTTGCTACGCGAGAGCACAACAAACTCACTTGTGATGATTCAGCCGTCGCTGCTGTCATACTCGTTTAATGGTCCACCTGTGCCGGCTCTGCTTGATGCTGCCAGTGTACGGTCCGATACAATTTTACTGCTGGACTCTTTCTTCTATGTGGTGGTATTCCACGGTGATACGATTGCTGCATGGCGTGACCAAAAATTTCACGAGGATCCTGCTCACGAGAATTTCAAAAACTTGCTGGAGGCTCCACAAGCAGACGCGCAGCTTATCATGGATTCTCGCTTTCCTGTTCCACGTTATGTGGTATGTGACCAGCACAAGTCGCAATCGCGTTTCCTAATGGCTAAGCTTAACCCTAGTGTCACGCACAACAGCATGGATGGTCAGGGCGAAGTTATTTTTACGGACGACGTAAGTTTGAAGGTGTTTATGGAGCACTTGATGAATTTGGCCGTCAAGTCATAGAGCAGGAATGGTGGTGACAAGGCTAAGATATTTGATGGAAAGGGTGGGTAACACAAGTAGATAAAATGATTTGAAGACAGTTTTTTTGCTGACTATCTTGTAGAAGGACTACTATATAACGACTGGTATTAGTTGATGGTATCGGATGATCATCGGATGTATTATGGAGCTTTTGAGGATTTATATCAAGTATATCATCTGTTGCTTCTTGTTGTTTGGTATCATCCAAGTTATAAAGGTATTCAGCATTTATAATGAGGAAAGTATACAGCAAAACAATGTAGTCCACATTGTAAGAGGTAGAGAGTAGGATGTTGGTAAATGGTCGTCACTGACGACTAGTGATTTACGTACGTCGTAATTCATGTCGCTAGTAAAAGTTGGTGGCAAAGGCGCCTTAACGTTACCAATCTAATATCCGCTCGTTACATGCGGTGGATGTTTGCTTCCCAAATTGGGTACCTTTTAAAAAACCTTGTCCGCCCATGAGTGGATCGTCCGCTGCCAGCTGTTGTTCTAGGGCGGCATAGTAATTTGAAGTACTTTGCCCTGAAACGACTTTCGTGGCAAGTTTCAGCCCGAACCGGTTGCTATCTCCTCGTCAGTTGCGCTTCTTCGTGAAAGAGCTAAGTTCAGATTGAAACCCTTTGCTCTCACGTGACAATTGCTGACTACTAACTATAGAAAAAGACATAGGCAGAAGAAGATAACGACGTCATTGCAGTGTCGGTAGCGTATTTTCATTAATTCATTGGTGATTATGTATCATAAAGACAAGCAATTAGTTGTAAAACATGAAAACTATGAGCTTCATGGAACACCGTCTGCGACTGCTATGGACAGTAATAGTACTGGATTTTATGCCCAGGAAGGTCGTCCTACTCCTCAAAAAGGTTATGTGGATCCACGTGGACCTGCGCTACCACCGATGAACGTTTCAGATGCTGTCGGGCTTGGAAGTCAGCATGACAATATTATATCAGTACATGGTTATATGCACAAACAAGGCAAACGAACGATCAAAGGACCGATCCATAAGAGCTGGAAACGTCGATATTTTGCACTAGAAAAAGCCAAGATTTATTACTTTCACTCGCACTTGGAGTGCCGTCAATATTTTACGACGCGAAACGCTGACCTCGTTGTTGGTGCCATTGAGCTCAAGGATGCGCTTCAATTGCGTCCTTGTGCACGCTTGGATCTACCTCACAGGGGTTTTGAGGTGCATACGAAACGCCGTGTCTGGGTTCTCTGTCCTGAGACGGACGAGGAATACCGTATGTGGTTTCAAGGTGTCGAGCGTGCTATTGTGGCCAATGGTGCTGGCAATATCATTGAGCGAAAACTGCCCAATGTTCGCAAATACCTGATGAAGGGTAATCAAACCTACCGGGTTTTTTATTTCTTATTTCTTATTGCGGGTATAGTCGAGCTCTTGGCACTTGTGTTTTGGTTTGTTATTGGTTTGGAACCTTGTGACGCGTCGCGTTTGGAAGTTGACTGTGCAACGATCACGACTACGTCTTTGATCCCGCTGAGGTGTTCGAACCAGCCATTTAGCGGATGGTTTACACCACCTGATTGGTATCTTGAGGTTGCTGATGTTTCTAATGTGATTTGTTTTCGCGACCCGCCTATCCCGCAGTGGATCTCATACTTTGCCATGCTTTTTGCTGAGGTGCTGACATTCTTTCTCGGTGTTCTCTACTATCTTGGTATGTGGAAGCCGGTACGTCGTGGTGCACACTACTTTGACGAGTTTGAGCCACCCGTTCCAGATGAGCTGTGGCCCAAGGTAGATGTTCTTTTATGTCACTACTCTGAACCAGCTGAAGAGGCAATCGATACGCTTATGGCATGCATGAACCTACAGTATCCACCACATCTCGTCCAGATTTGGGTTTTGGATGATGGCTACTGCAAGGCAAAGTGGACCAAGGGCAACCCTGTCCCCACGGTGGAGCTGAACAAGGATATTTTGGAAACTGCTGGCGATCTTCGTCAAGAGGTGGCGCAGTTCATGTATGACCGCGTGTGTGACCCTAACGAGGACATGGAAGTGTATGCGTGGCGCAAGTTACATTCGTCTGCCAACCTACCGTCACCGTCGCGCCCGAAGGTGGTGAACCGTGCTGATTGTGCCGTTGGTTCCTTTCGTGATGACTACCGCTATCCTGGTCTGCCGCACGTGACTTTTGTTGGTCGCGTAAAACCAGACACGCACTACTCAAAGGCTGGCAACATCAACAACTGTCTGTACAATGAGGGTGCTAATGGGCGTTACCTTATTATCTTAGATACGGACATGCAGCCTCATCCAAAGTTTGTCTTGGCTACGTTGCCGTTCTTCTTCGATGACGAAGATCGTCAAGACAAGGCCAAGTATATTTGCTGTGGTATTGGTTGTAACTCAGTGGCAAAACTCTGCTGCGCATCGTGCCAGATTGCTGGTGTGCCTGAAGAACAGATCAGTTACTGCTCAAAGGACTGTTTTGAGAACGCCATGCACGTGCAAAGTGCGGTGCACCGTCGCCAAGTGAATGGCACTATGAGTGATACGCGCGCGAGCAAGATCGACATGCGTTGTATGAATTGTGACGCGAAGCTTGGCAAGAGCGGTGTTTGCCGCAAGTGCAACCCAGGCAATAAGGGCAATGAGGATGAGGATATGTCATCTCTTCACACATACTCGGACGATACGCGTGACAATGCTGTGGCTTTCGTTCAGACGCCTCAGTACTTTCGTGACTGCATTCAACTCCAGATTGGCGACCCGATGGGTCACCGTAATGCCACGTTTTACGATGCAATTCAAACCGGTCAGGACGGTTACGATTGTGCCTCTTTTGCCGGCACGAATGCAATGTTTCGTCGCGAGGCTCTGGATTCTATTGGTGGCATTCAGTACGGAAGTTTGACGGAGGATTGCTACACTGGTCAGGTATTATGCTCCATGGGCTGGAAGGCCCAATACTTTCGCAAGGATTTTGAAGGCGAGCCGTCGGAACGAATTCGTCTAGCTGAAGGATTGATTCCGGATTCGGTTGCCGGCTCCTTGGCTCAGCGAAAGCGTTGGGCGAAGGGTAACTTCCAAATCGTGCTGATGAACAAGAAGACACAATACTTTGACCCTGAATGGAAGGCGCCCGAAGCTCACGTGCCATCGTACCACAAATCGAACAAGTTTATGCGCCGCGTATTCTACTACAATTCGACTCTTTACCCGCTTGGTTCGGTGACGGCTATCCTGTTCTACTACATTACGCTTTACTTCCTGTTTTCCGGATACGCTCCAATCTATATGGCTGGAGCTCGTCTCGTGTATGCATTGGTGCCGAAGCTTTTTGTGCAGGGCGTGCTGTCCGCTTTGAGCAATCGTACTGTAGACAATAGTGATGTGGTTCGATCTCAAGAAGTATGGTTTGCCTATGCATTCACTAATTGCACTGCCGTGCTAGAGGCATTCTGGTGGAAGATCACGGGCAAGGAGCCGAAGTGGTTTAATACGGGCGGTGCAAGCCGTGGCTCAATGGCTGAGTTGCCAAACGTGATCATCTTCTTTGGCACCGTTGTTGGCGTATTGTGGTCCGTGGTGCGTTTCCTGGCTGGCTACAATAGCATCCAGACATCGCATGGTGCGTCTCTGTTATTCGCGAGTATGATGATGGGTCTTTTTATTGCTGTCAAACTCGCGCCGAGCGTACGCATGAGTATCCAGGAATACTTTGGCTGGAGCTACGAGAGTTTAATGGACCAAGGCAACGTTGTGAGCTCGATTTCTATCGCATTTGGACTTATCTTCATTGCGCTTTGGGTCTGGATCGAACAGCCAACGTCTAATCCGTTTTAAAAACAGGAGGAGGTACCAGCTTCAAGCTTTCGGCCAACCAGGGTTAAATTCCCCGAGACCGAAGAGTCGCATACGAGACAACTATATGTCGCTCTCTCTCATGCTCATATGCTTGAATTTCAATATATTTTTCATGCTTTTCCATGTCAATTATTCATTTTCTTGGGTATTCATAGCAAGAAACCTCACACAGATAGAGAGACTATCAAAATGAATACGAGACAAAAGAATCGTGCGTGGAAAGTCTACAATTCAAATTTTACTTGAATGAATTTTTAGGCATTCCTTTATGTGTAGCATTCGCTCTTTTGTCCGTTTCTTTGTCCAGAATGCAACGCTCAACCTCTTTTTTTACACAATAACATAACAGTTTGTAACTGTCAGATTGTAACAACGTAAATACTGTAATCAGTGAGGCTGATGATTTTTTTTGTCAGTTGAACCCAAGACAAAAACACTGTCATGTATAATGTTGTTACATATGAGTAAGCTCTATATAATTCGGCACAGTGGCACGTAAATTACTGACCATAAATGTGAGGTGACTTTGATTTCTGTGATGTCGCATCTCTTGAAACAAAAGTTGAAGCTTGAGATTTTACACTGAATAGCGGACGAAGTGGACGGAGCCGCGAGGTTTTTTGATTGTCAAATAGGTATCGTCCGTATAAACGATTTGCACAACACGCTCATTTACTTTACTGCCACGTAATGTTTTGCGATTGTCTACATGACTGACACGGAAACATACGATACATTAGTAACTCGACTTTACATGACTACTTATGTCTGAAGTGCGCAAGAGTTAGTTGTCATTTTGAATATGAGAAGTGGGTAAAATTAGGTAATGTACCCAAATCTGTCATACAAGTTTTTTGTATCCTCTGCCGTCCGCTTCCCCTTCCCCTTCGTGTCCACCGCAGGCGTTTCAACCTGTCGCACTGGCTGCTTTAGGATAGAGAGAGTAAAAGTGAATGTTTTTTTTATCATTTAGAAGTTTCAAGATTAAACGAAAAAAACCAACAAGAAGGTTTTTGTTCAAGACAAAGAGACCCACAACCACTTGGTCATTATCTTTCAAGAGAAATACAAGTGAAGACAAAATAACAAATAAGAAATCGAAAACAATACAAAAGTTGAGTCAATTATTTTGTGCCAAGTGGTAAGTGAAGTAAAACCAAATCGTCATTTTCTTGTTTTTGTGTGTTTCAAATACTATTAACTTGATTTGATTATACTAATTCTCTCTCTCTAATTTTCTACTAGCTCCTTTCCACTTTCTTTGACCGAAGAAAATGTTTCATAAGGAACAACTAGCAACTGTCTCTATCACGGATGATTATGAAATGTATACAACCCCATCAGCTATGAATATCCATCAACCTGGTCAAGTGAATATTGTACATGGCAGTAGGAGTAATGGTGGTGGTGGATCGCCTGGCTCAAGTGATCGAGTGCCAATGGTATCGAATGGAAGTTTTCAGGATAATGTGATTACAGTACATGGTTATATGCACAAACAGGGTAAACGTACGATTAAAGGACCAGTGCACAAGAGCTGGAAACGTCGATATTTTGCATTGGAAAAAGCCAAGATTTATTACTTTCACTCGCATTTAGAATGCCGTCAGTATTTTACAACACGTAATACGGACCTCGTTGTTGGTGCCATTGAGCTCAAGGATGCGCTGCAATTGCGTCCATGTGCTCGACTTGATTTACCTCATCGTGGGTTTGAAGTTATGACGAAACGCCGTGTCTGGGTTCTCTGTCCTGAATCAGAGGAAGAGTATCGACTCTGGTTTGAAGGTGTTGAAGGAGCGATTGTGTCGTGTGGTTCAGGCAATATCATTGAACGAAAGCTTCCTAATGTACGGAAGTATTATATGAAAGGCATCACCACGTACCGCATTCTGTATTTTCTCTTTCTGATCCTAAGTGTCGTCGAGATCTTTGGCTTGGTCTTTTGGTTTGTTGTGGGGACGCAGCCTTGCGATTCGAGCAATCGGACACTGGCTTGTGAAGAAGTGTATAACAATACACCCGATGACCTCAACTGCCTTGCTGATCCTATGAGCGGTTGGTTTACACCACCTGACTGGTATCTGCTGCTGGCTGGTGTGGATGACGTAGCCTGCTTCCACAACCCGCCTCTCGCACAATGGGTGGCGTTTTTTGCCCTTATTGTTGCTGAACTGGTGTCCATTGTGCTTGGTGCGCTATACTACCTCGGTATGTGGAAGCCGGTGCGTCGTGGCGCTCACTATTTCGACGAGTTTGACCCGAAGGTGCCTGACGATCTATGGCCCAAGATTGATGTGTTGTTGTGCCATTACTCCGAACCAGCTGAAGAGACAATCGACACTTTGATGGCCTGTATGAATTTGCAGTACCCCCCGCACCTTTTGCAAATCTATGTGCTAGATGACGGTTATTGTAGCTCCAAGTGGACAAAGGGCAACCCTGTTCCAGCCATCGAGCTGAACAAGGTGGTTCTTGAAAAGTCTGGTGATCTTCGCCAGGAAGTTGCACAGTTCATGTACGATCGCGTATGTGATCCTAACGAGGATATGGAGGTGTATGCATGGCGAAAACTCCATTCATCAGCCAACCTGCCTTCAGCATCTCGTCCGAAGGTAGTAAACCGAGCAGACTGTGCTGTTGGTTCATTTCGTGATGACTACCGCTACCCTGGCTTGCCGCACGTGACGTTTGTCGGTCGCGTGAAGTCGGAGACACACTATTCTAAGGCTGGCAACATCAATAATTGCCTGTACAATGAAGGTGCCAACGGCCGTTACATATTGCTGCTAGACTCGGACATGCAGCCTCATTCGAAATTTGTTGTGGCTACGCTACCGTTTTTTTTCGATGACGAAGACCGTCAGTACAAGAACAAGTACTCTTGCTCGACCATGGGCTGCCAAAAAGTGGCAAAGATGTGTTGTGCATCGTGCAAAATTGCTGGTGTTCCGGAGGAGCGCATTAGCTACTGCTCGAGAGAGTGCTTTGAGAACGCAATGCATGTGCAAAGTGATCTGCATCGTCGCCAAGTGAATGGGACTTTGAGTGATACTCGTGCTACGAAAAAGGATTTGCGTTGCATGAATTGTGACTCAAAATTAGGCGAGACTGGTGTGTGTCGTAAATGCAACACAAATAACAACAATGGCGAATCAAACATGTCAATTTTGCACACATACTCGGACGATGTGCGCGATAATGCTGTTGGCTTTGTACAGACCCCGCAATATTTCCGTGACTGTGTGCAGCTGCAAATTGGTGATCCGCTTGGCCACCGTAACGCTGCATTTTACGATGCAATCCAGACGGGCCAGGATGGATACGATTGTGCATCTTTTGCTGGCACCAATGCTTTGGTTCGTCGTGAAGCGTTAGATTCGATCGGCGGTATCCAGTACGGCACATTGACAGAGGATTGCTATACTGGCGAGCGTCTTGTGTCGATGGGCTGGAAAGCGCTGTATTTTCGAAAGGATTTTGAAGGGGAAGCTCATGAGCGTGTTCGTTTGGCGGAAGGAGCCATTCCTGACTCAGTGGCTGGCGCCATGGCACAACGCAAGCGTTGGGCTAAGGGCAACTTTCAGACGCTTTTGATGAAAAAGAACAAGAACGTAGCTGATCCGGAGTGGAAACGTCCGCACGTGGATATTCCGAAGTATCGCAAGCCGAATAACTTCATGCGTCGTGTGTTTTACTTGAACTCGACATTGTACCCGATTGACTCGATCTCGGTGATTCTACTGTACTACGTCACTTTGTACTTCCTGTATACGGGCTACGCTCCGATTTTCGTGAACGGTTTGCGCGTACTTGTGGCCCTAGTGCCTAAACTCATTGTGCAAGGTTTGCTGTCGGCTTTGAGCACGCGCGGTGTTGAAAACAACGATGTTGTGCGATCGCAAGAGACAAGATTTGTATACGCGTTCACCAATTTTACCGCAATGCTTGGCGCCATCGTGTGGAAGTTTACAGGTCGCAAGTCGAAGTGGCTCAATAAGCGTGATGCTAGGCGCGGATCGCTGGCCGAACTGCCAAATGTGCTGGTGTTTTCCGGTGCTGTTTTTGGTATTATCTGGGCCATGGTGCGCTTTATGGTGACATACTACAACCGCGTGTTCTCGCACGGCGACTCCATGCTGTGCGCTGCTGTTCTCATGGGTTTTTATATCGCATACAACTTGGGTCCCAGCGTTCGAATGAGCATTCAGGAATATTTTGGCTGGAGTTACCAGAGTTTGATGGACCAGGGTAACTTTATGGGCTCGATTTCGATCGCAGTAGGCCTCATGTTCATTGCACTATGGGTTCAAGTGGAGAAGCCCGTTTCTGGCTAGAATACACTATGGTCAGCATCATTTACTGTAGATTCAGCTAACTGATTATGTAGCGCTGAAAGCACAGAGCTGCTATACTTTCTTACCTCCCATTCGTTTGGTTTAATGTCATCTATCATTTGTAGGTAATGAAAATGCTTGTGTGCGTCAAGGGGTTGCTGGGGTTGTATTACTTCAATAGGTTACAATACAAAAAGACGCGTTTACTGACTGGATAGCAGAACATGGCTCAGCAGACAATGCCTCTTTTTGATCAATTCTCCGAGTTCATCGGGCAGCCTGCGCGCGTGCAGCTACAGGATGGTACATTCACAGACGGCGTGGTATATTGTATCGACCCTGAAACAGACCACGTAGCACTTCTTTGTCCCTCAGACGATAAAGTGCTAGGCAATACCGTCAAAATTGTGTTGGCTCACAACGTTCGAGGAATCGAAAAGTTGGTGGAAGAAAGCACTGATCTTCCCACACTTGCTGCACTTAAGAGTGCGCTTGCAAAGGACCTTGAGCACCAGAATGGAAAAGATATTGCTACCATTGAGCAGCGTCGGGAACAGCTAAGCCAGTTCTTAACAAAGGTGATCTTTTGTGATATCGTATTGCACTTGAACCACGAGTAAGGAGGATTAAGGGTGCATTGTTATGTATTGTGTACTTGTAGAGCTTTGTTTCATACGAAATAATGGCAGATGGTAGCATTTGCGTCTTTGGAGGCGCTGCAACAATACGCAAGCCATTTCGTACTGTCGAGTGCTCTAATGAGCAACTTTTACGACGAATGGAGCAGCTGCTGGACCAATTCAACCAGGACCAGGCCGACGCTTCAATGTTTTCAGTGTAATCTCTATACTAGAATAAGTGAATACCAATGTGCCGGTGGAATTGACTTATGAGCCCATTCCACGCGGCGTCTCAGAAATTATGCAGGGCAAATCTCTTGATCGCGATTCACCACAAAGACGACATGAAGACATGACCGTCCATTATGTGCCTTAATTAAGGCCTGCCCTTTTTTAAGTCTACAAGATGGAAAAGAAGCTCACGTCTATAGTAGTAACTGACGCATCTGTACGTACGGGTTATATCAAATTAATTTGGGACAACACCATTTATTTACTCATCATTTTAGCAGCATCCGCATTAAGAACTTCCAACCTACGAAACGTAATGTTTTTATTCATAAATCCTTTAGTACAAATACTTGTCATTTGGTGCATGTTTGTCATTTCTAAATTATGCTATCATTTCTAATCTATGCCGTCATTTGATCGCACAAAATAATAACACTTGTAGAAAAAAAGAGCAAAAACGTCCAAGACACTTTTATCCTAAACGTGCTGTATTTTAAAGTGAATTGTCGTGCATCGTCAATTTATCGCTGCGTTTATTGTTTGGTCTTTTTTCTACTCTCTTCCTCTATAACTCACTGCCCCTCTAAATTCATCATCAATTCATTTCGATAGTATAATACCTCTACTTAAATGCGGGTATTCCAAGCCGTAAGGGCGTTGGCCAACGGTCTTCGTAGTCGTGATGATACGAATCAGCAGCATCCGTCAAGACATTTATATTCTTCGTCTCCACACTCCAGCAAGACGCATGTCAGTAGTCTTCCAACTCAAAGTAGTTCAAGATGTACTGTAATGATAGGACCAGATGAGATGGTACGCAATGCAGTGGCATTTCTTATACAGGAAGATGCAGAGAGTGCACTTGTCTATGCACTTGTACACGATCCAGAATTTCGTTTAGCTTCAGCACTTACGACGGTATGTAGCAGCAATCGAAGCAGCAGTAGTAGAAGCAGTCGTAGTAGTATGGATTTGCATTCGAGTCTTGACAATGTATGAATGACTTGTGATTCTCTCTCTCCATGTGTATGATAATATAGATACCGTCTGGACCTGATGTGATCGTAATCCGTGCTTTGTTGTATGTATTTGAAAATTATGAAGATCAGCTGCGAAAGCTTTTAGGACTGCTCATGTTTCGCGAGATGGTACACACACTTAACTGGAATGAGCTTTTTCGAGCCAATTCGGCTACAACAGCTGTACGTTTGGTTAACCTCAGCTTTATTAAAAATTGAGATACGTAACGTGAGCAATGTACTTGCTCTAATGTGATTGCAACTTGTGTGTCACGGCAGTTGCTGCGCGAATACACGTGCAAACTTGGTGGGGAGTTTCTGCAATACGCGCTGGCGGATGTGATCAACCATTTGTGGATTCATTCAGACGGATACGAGGTGAATCCACGCTATCTGCAGCCGCACGACGATCTGTATGCCAACCAAAAACAGCTTGAAGCATTGGCGGAGCGTACGTTGGACCGAATTTTTAGTGCTGCGTCGCTTTTTCCGTATCAAATTGCCAAGGTCTACCGCGTATTAGAGCTGGAAATGATGCGATTGATTGAACGAGACCGGCGCAGCAACATATCACTTCCTAGGCTTAGCGCGATGGGAGGAAGTAGTTACAGCCAACCTATCATGGACGCTGCCAACAACAGTTATACCTACAGTGAGGGCGTAGCAAGGGAAAGCTTTGGGCAACTCGGAGGACTGCCACGGCTTAGTTCTATTGAGGAAATTTTATTTGAGGAAGTGCTTACGCAGTCAAATATCTCGAACGGAACGCCTTCGACCATTACTGCTGCGAAGGAAGAGTTTTTCATGCACCTGGGTGGGTTGGTGTTTTTGAGATTCCTGTGCCCTGCGCTAGTAGTCCCGCACAAGATGAACTTGACGCCAGGAAGCGCTGCTCCAGATCGACAAATGCAGCGGACACTTGTGCTGCTGGCAAAATTGATGCAGTCTCTAGCAAACAATGTTGAGTACAGCGCATTAACCGAGCCATTCATGGTGCCATTCAATGCCTTCCTCGCACGTAATCGGCCCAAACTTACGCGCTTTTACGATCAATTGTGTCAACAAGCGCAGAGTGATCCTCGCCGAGAAAGTTTTGTTGTCCTCAGCAACGCTGCCCCGCGGTTGTCGCATCTTTGGGCAAGTCGGAGTAGCAGCAGTCTCGGCAACGACCCTTCGATTGTAAATCTTACAGGAGCACGCGTAATGGAGGCCCCAGAGGCGTCATGTGCTGTTTTGCGCAAGTGGATGGGCTCACATTTGGACTATCTCGCTAAAGAGGTCGCAGACAACAACAAGTTTCGACGACAACAACAGATTGTTAATAATAACGGAGGTAGCAATAGCAGCGGCAGTTCCACATCTCCAATGACATCTACTTCAACAATGACAGTATCACCTGTAAAGGTGCAACAGCGACCAACGAGAAAACTGAAGATATCGAAAAATGCAGCATATCCAGCTGAAATTGAGGAGGAAGAAGAGAAGAAAACTAGCGATGTTGCGAGAGTCTATCAGCAACGGGATCCGACGGTGCCTGTATCACTGGACGAGCTGGACAAAATTATGGGTCACACAAGCCATCGTGATAGTCAGCTAATGAAGTTGTACTACGCAAGGCTTTCACGAAATGGTCTACAGCAGTTACTTCATATGCATGATGTCGATGGCGCAGAGTGGGAAGTTTACAGGCGTAGTGGAAATGTTGAGGTGTTTCGCAAAACACCTGCTTATATCCGGAGCCCGTCTGGAGGTTTTGCTTTGGAGAAGGATCGACTTGTAGAGATGAAAGGAAATGTCATTATCCGCTCAACACCCACGCGCGTGTTTCAATATCTGCAAACCCTCGATGGAGGTAGTGCGGACACTGACATAGCAACGACCCGAAAAGTGGAACCTCTGGATGAATCCAGCTCGGTGGTTTATCGTCAGCACTCGAAACTATCGCTATGGCCAGCGTGGCTAGTAAAACCTCGTGACTCGTGTGATCTTTACAGCTTTATTGAGAAAACAGGCCAGCCCGACACGTACGCAGTGCTACAGGAGTCAATTCCTCGTGCAGACGTACCTGAACGCAAAGGAGTTGTGCGTATGGCTTTTGCCACTGGTGGTTACTTAATCGAGCCATTTGTTGGGAATGACGAAAACTCAGACGCGGCATGTGCAAGGCTTACGTGCATCGTACGGGCAGACTTTAAGGGATTGATGCCTCGGTACTTAGCAGAAAGTATTGTCTATCGGCAAGTCCTAGAGATTGAGGCAATTTGCTCCTCAGTGGAGTCCATGCAGCATGAGACGAACGCGTGGGTGCAACAATAGAGTGGTTAACACGGCAATATATAAACTATCTAATGGAAACGTGTACAACAACTGTGGCTTTGTACAAAGTTTAACAAAGTTTTAAGATACTAAATACCCAATGAAGAAGTGATGAAGTCGTGATTCTTGTTTGGTCAGCGGAGAAGCCTCACAATCTTTACAAGTTCCAGCGTGCGAAGCTAAAGCTTGGATCAACCGACATGATGGCTGATAGAGCTTGTAAACGCTCATAAACATCCGTAATGAGGGATGCGCGAGTGAGATCGAGCACGAGGAGCCGACACTCAAATTGTTGCATTTGGACCAAGTGGAGCCGTTATGAGGGAACCACAAGAGCGAAAAGCATTGATGAGATAAGGTGTCTACTCGATATGTGAGCATAGTGGCGATTTGGGATGGTGGAAACCATCATGTGCTTGCATGTTGAAGTCGAGGTTGCATAATTTGTTACTTCTGCAAGCACTATTCCACAGGAGTGGAAAACTTGTCGTATATGGTGACAAAATGCTGAAACGCTTTGTCGTGATCACCAGACCAAACGCGCAGACAGTCATATGCTGTGGGGATCATGTCCACGTGGTAGCCCATCACTTCATTATACGTCGAAAAAGCTTGGAGGAGATGTATAATGCTTTGTTTCTGCAGAAAATTGCAGCGTGCTCCCTTCAATGTGACCGTGACATCGTGTGCGATCTCTTTGTACTGTGGGCACTCACCGCACATGCAGAGATAGTCTTTGACGTTAATCGAGCGCAGTGTTTCTCCGCTATGGGGGCACTCGATGGCACTATCAAGCGGCAATTTCTCTGCTTGTGGCTCGTAATCGCAAAGCTTATCGTAAGCGTCGTAAGTAGCTTGGAACAAGTGATCAGCTGATGAGTGTTTATCTTTCCATTCATTAAAATTATCCCTACGCTCGTCGTTTTCGGCGTCAATGGGTGATTCAGTCGTCTCACTTGTGCAGGATCCAGTCGTCTCACTTGTGCAGGATTCAGTCGTCTCACTTGTGCAGCACTCAGTCATCTCACTTGTGCAGGAGTAGCTGTCATGTATAATGTCATGCATGCTGTGTGCTGCGTGATAAGACTGCAAATTACACTTCGTAATCGTCAGCTCTGAATAAATTGTGTCTTTTTCAGTCTGACAAGCCGCGTCGACAAGAATCGGAGCCATCTTGGGTTGTTTTAGCGAAGTGGTAACGTCACTTATGAGTACCATTGCCAGCGTTGATAGCACACTATTGCAATAATGTGCGATCAAATCCATCCAACTTGGTGTGGCAGTCAAGAACGTCTGCTTCTCCATTTGATCCAACATTAAGTCGGAAGCAGTAAAAAATTCCCAACACGAGTTCTCTTGACGTGAGTATAGCGTGGCTAAGATGATGTTGCCCATGTTGTAGCTGATGTGAGGCTAATGGTGTGTCTTAGAGTAAGCAAAAATGATAATAAGGTTTTGCCGCTCATAGATAATGCTTGTTGTCTAGCGCAATGACCAGATACGAGAGCAACGACCATATTTCCTCATGGCTACATTGCACAATTGTAGCTACTCTGTGACTTTTCCAGCGAAATGTTCCATGCACTCGTATCGCTGATTGGCTGTTTGCTTCAGCTTGAAGTAACATTGTAACCGTCACATGTAAAAGTGAACCATCTTGTCCTCATTGCGAGCTTTCAGCGTCTACCTATATATATCATTGATAGAATAACTCAAGTCTATATTCAAAAGGAAGTACAGCTTAAAAGGAAGCCAGCGCTTGAAAAGGCACGACAATAGCAGAGACTTCATAAGTGATAGCAACTTTGACAAAACTAAGTCCAAGATTAAGAAAAAGTGACGGTATCAAACAAGAGCACAATACTTAAAGATAGAGAAACATGTAAAGCGATAACCTGATACGACATGCAGAAGAAACTCAAATTATTCCAAGCATTCTATTATCCCTATCTACAGCCACATTAATGCGAAAGATGTGGAAATTTTTCAAAGGAACGTCGACCATGTGCTTCCAAATTACTGTTGCTGTACTATCACACACGACATTTCTACATACCGTGGTAAGCTTGGTAGATTAAATTCATAGATAAACGAGATAAGCAGCATTAGATTTGTAGACGAGTGACAAAGTGAAGTAGTGGCGGAAGCACAACTCGAGCAGACGGCTCGTAAAGTGACAACCTTTGCCAAGAAGAGGCCAACTTTGGCAGCATGCTGCATGAAAAAGACAGGAATCAGTTGTTACAGCGCTTTTCTCGATTGATCTTTCCACAGCTTTGCGATTTTTTATTAATCTAGGCACTTGTCCGACGTTCATACAATTTTAAAATGAAACTCCACCGATTGTGAGCAGTTGACTCGATGCTGCTATTGCTTCAGCTTCATAGAACGGATATCTCCAATACTTCACCGCACTTTCTACGGCTGTTCAGCATATGGCAAGGTAAGACTGACAAGCTTCACCAGCTCTTCAGCCTTCTTGCGATGATTTTGCGTTTGCTTCGAGATACTGGTCCATTTCTCACCGTGATGAGGGTCAGAAGCCACAGCACGCTTCAAAATATTCTCTGCCGTTTCATTTGAGCCGTGCTTTAACTCAAACAGATAATAATGGGCCCAAGCATCTCCAAAATCCGAGTCCAGCTGAACTGTTCGTTCCAGCCACTTGCGTGCCTTCGAGTACTTGCGCTCCTGCCAGAACAATTTGGCGACTGACAAGCACACGGATGTATCGTTGTCTTTCTTCTTCAGCGCAGTAAAAGACGCGCGTTTTTGCTGAGCTCGAGGGGCAATGTCAATAGATTCCGCCAAGAGTATGCCGGACTCAGGACATTCTTGCAAAGCCTTGGCCATCAACATTTCTTGACCCTTGAAGTTGTCCCATCGAGCTTCCAGACGAGCAGCCTCCAGCCACAACAAATCATTTTTTGGGTTTTGAAGGCGGGCCAATTCCAGCACCGAGCGTGCTTTTGTCACACCATTTGTCTTTTCCTCCAATCGACTAGAAAGAGTCCATAATGGAATCGATTTCGGACAGTGCTGAACGCCTATACGGTACATCTGCTTCGCTTTCTCATAATTAGGAGGATCTAGCGCTTCGTAATATTGCCCAGCCATCATATATAATTTCGGAAAGTCAGGGTACAGCTTAATACCTTCCAAGACAAGACTTTCCTCGTCTTCATGATCCTCAGCACATTCTCTTTCGAGCAGGACGGACTTCATCCATACATGGGGCGACGGCGCTTGTGCGCGAGCCTTCGCCAACAATGCCCGTGCCAAATCAATTTCGTCATTCTCCCACTCTAATTTGACGGCTGCCAGCCAGATTGCCTCGCTATTCGGATTGGCGCTGAATGCTTGACGCAAAATTAATCGTGCATTCTCAACTGAGCCATTAGTCCAGACCTCTTTGGCAGCCATAAGCCACAATATCTCTGCGTTTGGGCAACACGTGACAGCCTTCTGCAACAATTGCTCGACAGCTTCAAAACTCTTGCCCTCTTGTACTCGCTTCTCTAAAGCGACAGCTCGCAGCCAAATCGACTTCTTGCCTGGGAAAACCTTCAACGCAGCTGCATAGATAGCCTTGGCTGTCAGCAGTGCGCCTCGGCTGATACTATTCTCAGCATCGTCCATCCATGTACGCTTTCGATCTTCAAAATCAACGCCAACATCCAAACTAGCACGAACAATTGCCGCACACGTTAATGGTGCACCCGCTTGCTCACACGCTTCGGCTTCCTTAAGCCACGTTTCTCGGTTCATGACCACCTGATGTTTTTGTAGCGATTTTAGTGCCAACTGAATAATGCGATCGATCATGTCTAAATTCTTTCCTTGCGCTTCTTCAAGCTTGGCGGCCGTGATCCATATTGACGGCTCAGTTGGGATCGAAGCACGTGCCTTATTCAACGTCTTCTTTGCATTCTCATACGTTTCGAGCCGTGCTAGCGCCAGCCACAAATCCACTGCGTGTGGGACGCACTCGACAGCCCGACCGAGTAGAATTCGTGCACCATCGACATCCTCCAGCTCAATCAGAGCCTTCCATAGCTTCACTGAGTTGGGAATGAATTCGAGGGCACGGCGCGTCACAAGCTTTTTCAATTCATCCTCATTTTCAAGCTGCGCCGCTTGAAGCCAAATCTTGACTGACTTAGGCACGTGTCGTACAGCTTTGGCAAGAATTGTCTTTGCATTTTCCGGATTTTGCAGTCGTGCAGCTTCTAGCCAGACATCTTCCTGCGTTGGACACGACTCACAGCCTTGTGCAATGATTTTCCTCGCTTGCAGAATCTTTCCTGCAACTTCTTCCAGTCTTGCTGCCGCTATCCATCCCGGTCCATGCTTAGGATTTGTCATCGTCACAGATCTTAACAGCAGTCTTGCCTTCTTGATATCGCCAATCTCCGCGTCACTCGTGAGCTTCAAGCTGTTTAGGTCCGTAAGGTACCCTTTGGGATCCACCACGGTCTGGCCCGAAATTGAGTCCGACATCTTGTCCAGCTTGATGGACAACTGAGCACCTCTTGCACCTGCCAAGCCGGTCACAGAGCTCGTCATACCACTGGGTGTGTCCGTCCCATTTCCTGCAGGAGTGATTGTCCCACTGACATTCTTTGTATGCGCTGCATTAGCTCCCAATAGACTATCAGGTACAGGCGCAAACATCTCGTTGCGCTTTTGAAGCGCTGTATTAGTCTTGTACTTGAGCGAATAGTCTCCAATTTCCGGAATCATTTCCCACTCTGCGTCTGACATACTCTGTAATGAGCTCTTGAGATCTGCAAACTGATCACTTATCTTCGGCATCTCCTTGCGCGCTTTCTTAAGCTCCTCCAGCTGTTGTCGCTCTCGTCGACGCTTCCGTCGTGAGTCCATACGTTCATCCAATTTTCCATAAATATCATCAGCTTCCTTATCATCTTGATCGTATGGTGTATCTTGGAATAAACCACGAGACGAGTAGCCCGAGAACTCGTCATAATTGGTCTCACTATAGTCTCCAAAATCCTCATTTTCATCCTTTTCACGTCCAAATCCACCCATTCCTGCAGTACCAGAGCCACGTCCTGCACTTGATCCTGGTACTACTGGACCTGGTCCTGGGATCTCCATGCCACGTCCGCGACCTGCTCCACGACCAGCAGGTGGAAGGAATGGCGCGTCCTGTGTCCCATCTTGTGTCATGGGTGCACGAGCAGGGCCAATGTCTGACCTTGTGGTAAATCCCACGGCACCACGACCCAAACCTGGAACATAATTAGCTGGTGCACCCGAAGTATACGTATTGCGGACACGCTGACCAAGGTTGCTCATTTTTGCTGTAACACAAATCGAATTTGAAAGTAGTGTAAGGTACACCAAAACTATTTGATCATAACCATCGGTACCTATAATTAAAATATTTGTACCCAAAAACGGCTTTAATACGTTAAAATAGTTACATATAATGCTAATGCAATAACTAAACATGGTAAAACGATGCTCGTGATTACGCAACACGCGGCAACATTACTCTATTATCTTTTATTCTTTATCTTCTGGTAGCACTACTAAATTGCAACCGCGCCACGTTCATTTAGACTCATTCACACGCAACAAATGCGATAAGGAAATGTGTATTTGTCATAAATATGGAAATATTTTGAAGAAGAGAAGAAGGTACTATGATTATATGGAGGAAGTCTGCCGATGTTAGCTTAGCGACAATGAAATTGTGACACCTCTTCTATATCACTTAATCTCCTTTATGACGTAATAGTGTATGAAAAGTACCAGTGACATTAAATAGACGACCATCACTCTGCTTTGTCACGTCAGGTTCCATTACACAATTTAACGTTTATCAAAGGATCTTCAACATCTCCTGTTTCTATTCAAACCCATTTACTCTTTGTCATCAATTAAAACCATTCGAATTATTATAATGAGATCTTTCCTCCATTCAAGTCGTCAGATTGTGCTGCAGTATAATGTGCGGTCGCTCCAGACTGCAGCCGAAGCTGCTGCCGATGTATCATACACGCGCGGTCTCTTCCTCGGCGTAAACAATACTGCACGTGCCTTCCCGTACCCAAAGCCCTCGGAAAGTGAGACAGAAATGTTGCAAATGCTGGTAGACCCTGTAAAAAAGTATTTTAGCTTTGTAGATTCTCGCGCCATTGACGAGACGAAGAAAATTCCACAGCAGGTATTGAATGATATCAAAGAGCTGGGTCTTTTTGGCTTACAGATTCCTGAAAAGCTACAAGGTCTTGGTCTCTCGAATACAGGCTACGCTCGTGTGTGTGAGGAAATCACGGATGGAAGCTTGGCTGTGACTGTCATGGCTCATCAGTCGATTGGGCTGAAAGGTATTTTACTCAATGGTAATGAAGCCCAGAAGACCAAGTATCTACCAAAACTAGCAACCGGCGAACACATTGCTGCCTTTGCACTTACAGAGCCTTCTAGTGGCTCTGATGCTGGATCCATTCAAACGCGTGCTACTCTTTCAGAAGATGGCAAGCATTTCATTCTTAATGGTAGCAAGATATGGATCAGTAACGGTGGATGGGCAGACGTCATGACCGTGTTTGCACAAACAGAAGTAGAAGGCAAGGATAAGGTCACAGCTTTTATTGTGGAGCGAGCATTTGGTGGTGTAACTAGTGGCCCTTCCGAGGACAAGCTTGGTATCCGTGGCTCAAACACATGTCAAGTTTTCTTTGACAATTGCAAGGTACCTATTGAGAATATACTAGGAGGTGGACCGGACATGAAGACGGGTGGCGCAGCTGGTGTTGGCCAAGGATTTAAGGTAGCTATGAACATTCTAAACAATGGTCGTTTTGGCCTTGGTGCTTGCGCAGGAGCTTCACTTCGCCGTGTGTTGAGTACAGCAGCAGAGCACGCAAACTCGCGCAAGCAGTTTGGCGCGCCATTAGCAAAGTTTGGTCTGATTCAAAAGAAGTTTGGTATCATGACGCTGGATGTGTATGCCATTGAGTCCATGGCGTTCATGACCACGGGCATGATCGATCGTGGTGACCCATCTTGCGAAATTGAAGCAGCTATGTGCAAGGTATATGGGTCAGAAGCAGCGTTTACGGGCATTAACGAGTGCATCCAGGTCATGGGCGGAACTGGGTTCATGAAGGAGTGGCCTTTTGAGCGCCTGATGCGTGACTGTCGTATCTTGTCAATTTTTGAAGGCACGAACGAGATTCTTCGCATGCTCATCGCTCTCACCGGTATCCGGGTAAGTTGGCTTTCACATTGTTAAGTGACTACTTTTTCTATTAGTATTAATTTGACGTATGGTACAGACTGCTGGTGAGCGTCTATCAGCCGTGGGTAAGCTGTTTCAGAACCCACTATCAGACCCATCGAGTGCGGCCAAGGAAGTGTCGGACCGTTTACAGCGTAAGTTCTCACCAACCACCCTGGAGGGTGCGCACCCAAGCCTAAGAGATTCGGCCGAGCTGCTACAGAAGCGTACTGCAGACTTTGGCCAGGCTGTAGAATTTCTGCTTCGTAAGCACGGCAAGAAGGTTGTCGATGAGCAGATGCAGCTTGAGAGAATTGCCGACTCGGCCATTGCATTGTTCGCCATGACCGCTACGATTTCGCGCGCGAGCTCGTCATTAAATCTTGGCAATGAGTCAGCAGAACACGAAAAAAAGCTTACAGCGCTCTACTGTGACCTGACGTCCAAGAAGATCCAGACGCTTTTAGATGAAATTAAAACGGCCGTGAAGCACGACAAGCAGCTGCGCGAAATTGCCAGCGAAGTGCTTAAATCTGAGAAGTACATCCCCAGCCACGCGACGGGAATATGATTGCTAGGTGATAGCGTTATTACTCTTCACCTAAAATCAATAGTCGTGTACTGTCACGCCAAAAACTTCGGCAAAATCTGATGTGCATGTTGTCAAAGTTGATTTTATCTAGTTACTCTATATTATCAGAGTGCTGGTCGCATTTAAGGAAACGTCGCACCTCATTTGCCATTTCTGGTAGCAATACGAAGACTTCCAATGGGCTCTACATTGTCCACAGGGCGGTTGCTCACTGCCACGCAGCGCCAGAGCTCACTGATGCAGATACGGAAGCGCGTACAAACGTTGCTTTATTTATGGGCACGCTTTTGGATATTTGCGACTGGCCTGGAGAAGTATGAAGAGCTCGTTTGGGTTATTGTGCAGCAATTCAAGCACAGGGTGTACCGAACAGCGACTGAAAGGCACGCATTCTTTCATTACTTGGTCATTAGAATTATAGAACTTTGGCTCCGGACGCTTCATGCGGTGCTCGTACCGGATGTTTTTACTCGTTATCTATGCGTCACATTTGTGCTGCACATTGTATACGAAATGCAATCAGTTGTTTGCCAAGTCGTTGGAAATACGTGTTTAAAACTTACAGTAAAAGGACGACGTAAACTAAGATTAAGACAGCAATTGGAGAATGCCAAGACGTTTCAAGAACGTCAATCAATTGCTGGAGAACTCGATAAACTTGAGGGCAAAGATAAGTGGCGCGAGGACCCCGTATCGCGGCACTTTTTGTATAAGAGGGTGATTGAAAAGACACAAGTGTACAAGAAATTGAAGCTCGAGAACGACGTTAGGGGACTTATGTTCTCCTTAAGAGCTGGCCTACTGAGGAAACACTGGGGACTGGGAAATCCTCGCTTGTATTCCGTCAGCAACGGTACGCGCATCTGTCTAAGTATTTTTTAATGCAACTTGTATTGATTTATACACTTTTTTCTAGTTGGAACAAAGCACGTGATTGAAGAGTACTTAAATACAATTGTGCATTCGATGAATGTCGTTCTGCGTGCAAAAGGAACGGATAAAGAGGACAACGATCAGTTATCGATTGACAATAAGCTGGCATTTTTTAGCGAGACGCGTCATGCTTATGGTCGTTCTGCATTAATGCTATCCGGCGGTGGAGCGCATGGATTTTATCATGCCGGAGTGATTAAAGCTTTGATAGAAAACAATTTGCTGCCAACTGTGATTGCTGGTTCATCGGCAGGGTCGATTTTGGCTGGAGCGATTGGTGTTCGCAATGATGATGAAGTGCTAATTTTTTTGTCGGGAGAGTCTGTGAATCTCAGTTTCTTAGGACCTAACATTACGGAGCAAGATCGAGCTGCTTACATACCATCATTCTTGCCTTCAATTAAGATGCTGCTTCCTCAAGGAGGTTTTGAGCTTGCGCGAGATGCTTTCGTCCTGCTTAATCGGTTTCTCGATAAACGCTTCTTATTAGACACGAAGACGCTCCGAGACTGTTTGCGAGGTGTAATGGGTGACTACACCTTCAGAGAGGCCTATGACAGAACAGGTCGGATCATAAACGTTACTGTGACCCCACTGAGTGCCGATGACTATCCTCAGTTGCTAAACTATCTCACGGCACCAAATGTGATTATTTGGTCGGCGTCCCTGGCGTCTTGCGCGATTCCGAACGTTTTCTGTCCTGTCGAGCTTCTTGCAAAGGACGAGAATGGAAACATGGTCCCATATTATCGCGAGGGACTAAAGTGGAGTGATGGCAGTGTCGAGTGTGATTTGCCTATGGAACGGCTGTCAGAGCTCTTCAACGTTAACCACTTTATCGTCAGCCAAGTCAATATTCATTACAAGATTGTATCAGGCCATTCGGCGTTTGGAAATGGACAAACTGGTAGCCTCATGAATTTTTTGAAGAAGCAAATGAAGGCTTACATAAAAAATATTGCGGAGTTTGTACTCAATACCTCCGTGCTGAAGTTTCTTGACATCGGACTAATTCCTCTGATAACGCAAAAGTACGAAGGTGATATTACCATATGCCCTACAAACAAGATCCCTGCTATGACATTACTGCGAACAGTGTTGAGCAATCCGTCACGTGAAACCTTTCCAGATATTTTGCAGGCTGGTGAGAGGGCGTGTTGGCCAGCAGTTGCACGAATTCGTACCATGTGTCGTGTAGAGTTTGCCTTAGAACGCGCTGTGCGGTACTTGCGTGGAGAGCAAGCATTGGAAGATGAGAGACGGAGCGGGCGGAAAGCAATTGGTCGTGTGCCATCATTTTACACTTCCCCAAGCTCTATGAACCTGTCGAATCTGGATGAGTCACCTCCCACTGTTTTTTCCGGTACGAGATCGTAGTGGTCAGGACAATAGCACACTAGATCAAAGATTTATTTGCAGAGCACTCGTTGCAATGGTGACGTAATCATGATGGCGCCGTGCAACGTTGACAAATAGAAGTGGCTTTGTGAAGATGACACATTAACAGATGAGACGCAAGTTTACACAGGAGTTTCGATAAAGGTTAGTGAAAATGGTAGCTGTTAGTGATGTTATTCTCTTCAATAAAGGCGCCAAGTACCCACACGATATAATTTTCTGTTAAACATTTACCTACATACCAAATGGTGTTAGCTTTGCGGCTCCAACTACATTTCCGCGGGGTATTGAACGCGCTGAATGTCAGCTTCTTGCTTAATAATAGTGTTTCAATGACGAAGTAGCAAGTAGCAGTAATGCCTTAGGTCCACAAATGTGCCAGCAGAAACTTTGCAAGATGACCCACCTAAACGTGTGTACCCAGTATCAGCAATATAAGTTTGGCTTGCATTATGCGGCAGCATGAAAGCTTTGTGTGTTGGAATTTGTCATTGGTGAGTTCAGTGAGAGACTGAAATGAAACTTCACTTCAGCAAAATTACAGTGGCTTCTTACATAATTCTTTAGGTTAAGAAACTTTTAAGTTAAGGTCTTCTAATTTACATACTATATCCTTTTTCTTTCTAACGAAGACACGTTGGAACAGCGCTTTGGGCTTGAGCGACTTCTTCGCGGTTGACACTAACACGTCAAGCCGCTGGCTGTAATCACACGCATTACCTTCTTGATATTTGCACTAACCTGCATTTATTTAAGTCTATAACGCATTTAACACTAACCGGTGCCTAGTGTGGGCAGATACAAGGCTACATGCGGTGTGGTTTTCCTACATTGTACGTGTTAAAAAGGCGGCAATCTTTGCTACAGCTTCTTGACGACACAAATTTAGCACCACCTATGTCTCTAAAGAATCGGGGTCTACAGAATATTCTGGCAGCCTGCCCTTTATTTGTTCGGGTTTTGATGCAGCAACTTTATCAACGACATTTTCAGTCAATTTCATGCACATACGGTACGTCAGCTTCAAAGTTTATTTTTACAGATGACCACTGAAGTAGTTACTGTCAGCTATAAAGTTGGCATCAAAAGCTATGTAAGGCACTATTTTTCCCGAATAATAAGTCTAGTCTTTGGGTAAGCTCATTACATAATATTGGCACCATCATCAGGTGCTAGTCTAAATATGATCATAAAAATTACAAGAAATCATTAATTAGCAAAAACTCGAAAGCATCATTGTGAGATGAGGTAACCCGTGTTTATCGAATCTTTTCTGGTGTCGTAGGCAGCAAAGAATTATCCATCACTATGCTTGGGTCTTGTAAGGACCAATAACTGCAATAGGTTTACGGTATGTGTATAGCGTACCTACGTACAGAAGCAATGAGAAAGCTCTCGTCAAAGTTTGCCGTATAAAAAAACAGCTCCGCTTTTATACACATAACAAGTGAAAATTCCATAGAACACCATATCAACTAGCTATTTATAAAAAAATAACAATGCTGGCCTACAACGCTAAATCGTACCTAACTAGAATGTGTATGGTGTAACAGGGTTACACGAAGGTGTGTATTGTACATACACACCTTGGTGTGACAAAAGCAGGTGATGTGACCGTACCTGAAGTACGAAGGGTCGCATCGTGGCAGAGAGCCACGTGGTCACTATACTTAGTATAGTATAGTGACTATACATGTTTGCATAATAATAAAAGGCTAAAAAGCCAGTTTAGTGACTAGCAATAAGCTTAAAGTAGATGCTTCTATATTTAGTGTTAGAAAATAAACATATATATAGATCAGTTTCAAACCTGCTCTGTAAGCCTTAAAGCTTGAGCTTTCTATTCCGTATAGGAATTGTATCTTTGATACTAGTCTCTTTGAGACGTGGTTATAACAACCGATAGGCACAAGCTTACGAGATAGCCTAGGAGGGTTAAGCACCCTAAGACGTAGAAGTTCTCTGAGCTTGTCTTCCTCTGCACATAGTGCATAAGTAGCTTGGCTACATCTTCTGCACATAGTGCATCTTCACATATTGCCTAAGTAGCGTGGCTACAGTAGCTCGGCTACATATGGAGACCTGTTAATGCACTCAAGCACACGCTATTTGTGTGCAGTACATACTTATGAAATAGCAGCTTACCTACTAATGCATACTTTTACTAGCCCATTACAATCACCAGTGGAAACCACAAAACGCGGATATACGACTAATCAAAGATCAAGGATAAGCTGTCCCCAGATAGCATCCACTGTAATGGGGTTACACAAAGGTGTGATTGTACATACACACCTGCCACACCATTGTGAAGTGGCTGTACTTTTATTACAGTGGTAGGTTGATGTGTAAGGTACGAAGGGTCGCATCGTGACAGAGAGCCACGTTGGTCCCTATACTTATTTAAAGTATAGTGACTATGCATGCTTGCATAATAATAACAGGCTACAGAGCCAGTAAATAGTGACTAGCACAAAAGATAGAGTAGGTGCTTCTAAATTTAGTGTCAGAAGATAAACATAAATATAAATCAGTTTTACACCTCTCTGTATTGCATTAGTTGCTAGAGCGTTCTGTTCCGTCATAAATGTTTTATTTTTGATACGAGTCTCTTGGAGACGTGGTTATAACAACCGATAGGCACAAGCTTGCGAGCTAGCCTAGGAAGGGTTAAGCACCCTACGACATATAAGCTTTTGGAGCTTGTCTTCCTCTTCACATAGTGCATACGTAGCTTGGCTAAAGTAGCTCGCTACACCTGGTAGCACGTGTAGTCAGCCCCGCACCTGGGTTTGCGACTACTTCTCTGTGTGAGAATGGACATAGATGAGATGGGCAGTGGTTGGCCTGTCACAGGCAGAACCGGAAGGGTTGCAGAAGCTGCTTCCTATCCTTGGCCCTAAGGGCGTGGAGTACCTCATTGTCTAAGGCAAAGAAGAGGTTAACAAGCGTATTCATATGCTTGAGGAGCTTAACAACTCTCCAATCGAGCATGTAAAGGCACAGATGCCTTCTTCTGCGCCTTCGCCCATGGCGACTATGGCAAAAAGTGGTCCGCAGACCAAAACCCATGAAAATGGAAGTCGATAAGGTCAACGGCAAAGAAGGTGACAACCTTATGTTTTACTTCGGACAGATTGAGTTGTCTATATTTATAGCCGACATTACCTATTAAACGTGCCGTTTTGGCTTTGCCACGGGTAAGCTCGAGGGGTTAGTCGAGAGGTGGGCATCCATATGTGGTGCATCACTGCAAGATGCATTTTTCACATGGGCCGATCTGAAAAGTTCAGATGAACCGGCAGTATGCACCGCCAACCCAAGCGCACCATAATCAGTCGCGATTTTTGGCGTGTCGCCAAGGCAAGCGTGAGCTTGCGGCATATGTACAAGAGTTGAGAACTCTCATTGCTGCCATGGCCATAGACCCTATGGCTGAGGCAGTGACCGTCACGGTCTTCATGGAGGGCCTCCGAGTTGGCGTTCCCAGAACGGAAGTCTTCCGGGTAAACCCGTCCTCATTGGAGGAAGCCGTTGGAGTGTCATGGAATGCCGAGGCCAACTTTAAGGCTGCTAGGCCTGCCACTTGTAACTACTCGTCTGATGGGTCTGTACTCATGGACTGTAGCCAAGTGGAGGATGAAGAAGCTGAGCTTCATGCTGCGGAGCAGCAAATTGTGCGCAGATGATATATCTGCAAGAGCACAGTCCATCTGATGGCAAAATGTCCTGCAAGAAAGGCATGTTTGGCCTCGAAGGGCCGACGCCCCATGGGTAAACCTTCTGGCTTGCCGCGGGGAAACGGCGGAGCCCAGTAGGCGCGGAACTCCATAATAGGGAAGAACTGAGTTCTGTTGAACCTCTAGGAGGCAGAAGTAAGCAAGGATCAGCCCTAAAGAAATCCGAACTCTCAAAAACGGAACGAAAATGCAAGCCAGGCTTGCTAGTCGTCGAAGGGACGATTAAAGACTATGATAAGCCATGGATCATTTTGATCGATTCGGTGGCATCGGGCAATTATGTGCGCCGTGTCACCGTGGAAGGTAATCAGCAGTATGCTGAAGCGCTTGTAGCGTGTGAGAGTGACACAAAGTCACGGCTAGCTTAGCGACTGGTACGCGTGTTACGGTACCCAAAGTCCCAATGGACTTAAATGTAAAGTTCTTGGACTTTAACAGCATATAACGCTGTTTGGTCTTAGACCTGGATGCGAGGTATGACCTCATCCTAGGCATGGCATGGCTAAAACGTCATGAGCCATCGATTGAATGGAGGTCGCAGACCTTAGGCGCAACGCGCAATGCTTTATGGAGCTCTGGAAAGTCATGAACCCACCTTTGCTAGGAAGCAAAAGCGCTTTTGGCGCGGATATTGGACCGAGTCGGTCAGTATGTTGGATGTCGAAATATCCGACTTTGTAGACTGTGACTGTCGAGAACAATAGTCCTGGGCGAGGCCCAATGACAATCGTTAGTGTGGTTGAATATTCAATAAATGGCACATATGACATGCGTCATGAGAATGATGTTACATCATTAAACACCACTCGGAAGGTAAAAGCCAGAGGCACACCAAACTGGGTGGGGGTTTCACCCATCGGTACGTCTTGCTCGTTCATTCATAAGTAACAAACTATTAAGACAATTTGGGCCACCAATAATGCGTGCTCGCCGAGCTCTAGGTCTTTAACGACCTAAATGACCACCAAGTGGTGTATCATGAGCCTCATAAAGTATCGGATACTTGAGGTCCTCATCATGAGGCACCACAATACGAGGCTGGTCATCCGACCCTGTACTGTAGTACAACAGACCATCGGTCAGTGCATAACGATGTAATCTCGCGCGATTACGTGGTGACAGCTTCACCTTAGAGTTTCCAATCTTTGCACTACCCAGCGACTGCAGAATGGCAACTCATGCCTCATCGCGTGCATACGCCACACGGATACGATCGGTTACCGACGAACTCACAACATT